TTAACTATTTGGAGAACCAGTCCAACACCGTAAATAAGACTTTAATTTTTCTTAAACAAGAAAAAGTTCATAAAAGTTTCCAAGGACTGTCAGTTTAATTTTTGTTTGCTCTTTGGTTCTTCGTCAAAACTTTTTTTCTTTTCGTTTCGGGCACCCAACTGAGACATCGGCAACTGCAGATGCCAGACCTCCCGAAAACATTGCCCTAATGAATTTACGATCTGTCGTGGCCAGTTCTCAGCCAATTGCTTTCCAGCCGTTTCCGCCATTCTCCATTGGCCATTTGAGGTCTTCATCGGCGGCCAGCGGTTGTGGTCCAGGTTGGTCGGTTGGTTGGTTCCCCGGTTGCACGGTGCATGTCAGTGGGTTGGTTTGAGGCCAACTGCTACTTACTGCAAGACTGGCCATAATATGTAATTTCAATGATTTGCATACAAAACACTTTTCACCAAACCCAAATGAAAGACCTCTAGCTCCATAGAGCTGCAACTCCGACTCCGACTCGGGTCCAGAATAGAATTCAGAGCTCTGGCTGGGAGCTGAAAAGGCGGCAGAAGCCGTGGAATTGGCATGGACAAACAAACACGTTAAATACTTCCGCGTTCGCGGTGCTCCGATGTGGATTGGAAGTGGGCCTGGTCATGGGGATGGGGATGGGATGAGGCTGTGCCGATGGAGATGGCAATGGAAATGAGAATGGATATAGGTTTAGGAATGGGCATGGAAATGGGGATGTGGATGTGGATGTGCCCGTGACTCTACCCCCCTTCGCACCCCCTGACCCTCCTTGGTCTCAAAAAATATTCATATTTGTCACGAAGCCAAATACCCAAATAAGTTACACCTGAAGAAAGGCCAAAGGCAATAGACACTACAAGGTAGGTACGTTAGAAATCAATAGTTCATCTTCATTCGAGAAAAAATAAAGTATTTATCAAATGTCCACAGCAGGTGGAACATAAAGTCAGATATTTTATTGTATCATAACAAATTACTAGATCTGCAAATTTGTATACTTTCTGTGAATTCAATTGTGATTCAATTCTGGAAATAATCGATAATATCGATACAAATCGAAAACTAAAAATATTAAAAATAAAAGGAATATTATTTGAATAATGGAGAGGAAAGGATTTAGAGTTAATTAAATTAAATAAGCTATTACTATATTTTTTTTAGAGATGACCAGACTTTAAAAAAAGAATCCGATCTATTCGCCTATACAAAAACATCGATTAAATCGATTTTAAAATCGCGTTGCTAACATTTATACAAATTACAGTTTTTTTTTACATGCTTTAATAACATTTTCTAAAATAAAGTAGGATTTTTATTTAAAGAGGATGTAGGAGGTCTCCTACTTTCGACTAGACCTGAGGGTACCCTTCGTTTCTGTCAGTGTAGAGCCTATTCGGGGGCTGGAGCCGGGGCTGTCATGTGGCCAAACCCAGTTCCTGGACCCAGCGGCCCGAGAATGGGGCCAACCTAATGGGGGACGTTGTCCGGGCAGCTGCGTGCGATTCTGCGAAAGCCGAAAAATTATAATAACCAGTTTGGGCTGCTATTTTTTTTTGTGTTATTTTCTACCTTGTTTTTTTTTTGTTTGCCAAAACCTTCGTTCAATGACCCGGCGCAGGGATATGGTCCCAAGATGGGCCGAGAACCGTGGAAAGGTAACCACTCTCCGTTTTCTTCTTTTTTTTTTCATTGCAAATTCTGCGGCGAAAGTTGATCGGCCAAAAGAGATGGAGAGCGATCCCCGAAAAAATCGGAGGGGAAAAAAATGGAAATGCACATTTAGATTTAACGAGATATTGGACAGAAGTGGGCAAAAGGTACGGAGGCCTTTTCTTTGGCACATGGCCGCAAAACTGCAATAAACCAAATGCCGCCAGTGGCCCAAAATGAGCAAACAGCAGCAGCAGCAGCAGAATGATGTTTTTTTTTTCCTTCCTCAGTTTTTTGTTTTTTTTTTCTCCGAGTTGTGTGTGTCTTCTGTTGAACAAAAATTCCAAAAGCAAATCCATTTTGTTCCGACTTTCATTTCGGAGCAGCGGCAAGCGCTGCACAGTTTGAAGACAATTGTATAAATGAAAGTTTAAGATCTCCGGCGGGCAACTGCTCTTTGGGCACCTGCATGTGTGTTTGTAGGGCAGTGTACATATGAGCTAACGGCGGGGGGCGGTGGGCAGTGGGCGAGGGGCGTGGCAGCGACAGGTACACCGGCACTCGAGATCGATGGCAGCCCAAAAAATAAAAAAGCCAAAGCCAAAAAGACCCGGCACGTGTTGCCCCAAGAGCAAAGCAAAAGCACTTTTCAATTGTTCACCACTCGTCGATGATCGTGGCCATGATGATAATGATGCCACCATCGATATTGCCGCTGTGCAGTTGCTGTTGCTACTTCTGCTACTTCTGCCACTTCCACTGATGATTATGAACATTTCTCCAGTGCAGTGTCTTCGACTTTGCTACGATTTCGATTTACTTTTGCTTTTCATTGTTCCTAATGCGATGATGGCCACTGGCTGCCGTGCAAGTTGCCGCCGGTGCGGCTGTTTGTCGACCCATCAATAATTAATAACAATTTCATGGTTTTTAACACAAAATGCAGAGCCTTTCGTGAACTTTTCCATGAATATTTTCTATTGAATTCGACTGAAATATTTGCAGTCTTTTGGTTTGTTGATGGGATTACATGATTGTATAGGTAAATGTTATGATATTAATGTTTCTTCTTAAAAATGTAAGGTTTTTTATTATTTTTTTTAGCAATTTAAATCTTTTAAAAATGTAGAATTAATAAGTAGTATATTATCATTTGAATTTTTGAATATTTCTGAGATTTACATCTTAATACAGCTTTTTTTAAATCTTTTGTTCTTCTTTATAAGCTATCTGCCCGGGTTCAAGCCCAACGATTGATTCCATTGACTCCGATTCCATTGCCCTCGCCCGAAAGCGAAAAAGCAGAATTAAGCAAGTAACCGTGTTCAATCAGCGTCAATTATGGCCATGTTCCCAAACCCCAAACATCAAACACCCATCCATATCTATATGCCCGTAATATGCGATTTCGATTCGGGACAATCAACTCTTTTCTCTCTTGTGGAGGAGGAGGTTGCTCCGCATCCGGTGCTTGAAATAAATCTTCAAATTAAGATGCTGTCTTCCAGAAAATGCTCGAAAATCGAAGCAATTTTTGTGTAGTTTTCGCTGAGAATGAGCGAAACAAAGAGGGCAGATATAAAATTGAATGTGAAATCAAAAACGATCAAAAGCGCTTTGAAGTGACCACTTGGCACAATATGCGATGTCTACACCAGACTTAAGTTCACTCATTCTTATTCTCGGGGAGTGCGCGGGTGGTTTAAGGAGTTGATTTAATAATAAAATTAATTAAAAGTTATTTTGAATCCTTTAAATTTAAAATAAATCATTTTTATTAGAGTAACAGAGTATTAAAATACTTTAAAATGAGCTTAAAGTGGTTTCCAATTTTATAAAATGTATAAACTTTTAAATTAACACAAAATAATATTAATTAGAATTAAAAAAAAAAAAATTTATACATAACATCTTAGTTTTAAACAATTTGAAACACTTTTTCCTATTTAAATAAACAGAAAATCTGGAAATTTGTACACCATAATTCCACAACTCATAATACCGCCCTCCGAATAATCTGAAAATCTGACAGCAGCAAAACAGTTTGTTTAAAATGAACTCAAATGCGAAAATTACACCCCAAGCGACCAATTTAAAACCATTAAATTATAATTTTAAATTTTAAAGAGCTCGAACGACTTAAAGGGAGGGCAGCCACGGCATTATTCAATTAGGGAAGACGCATTTGTATAGTTTTTGGACTCAGCCAAATGGAGTGCGTTGGATCCGACCCTCCCCCCGCCGCCTCTTTTTTCACTTGGAATATTATTCTTAGCGTTTCGCAAGCCGATTTCAGTTGCTTCACTTGCCTCATTGCGATTGCAACACGGGTTCAACTTCAAGTGACGGAAGTGGACGAACGAAAATCAACTACAGTTGAACTTCTCTAACGAGTACTTCTTATAAGAAGTAAAGTCTCTAAAATCAAACAAAATAAAAAAATAAAATAAAAATATTTTAGGCGAAAATAATTTTTTGATAATTATAAGAAAACCTCAAGAATGACATTGGAATTTTCTTTGGAGTTTCCAATGATTTTTTGATATCATTCCATCATTTTTTCTTTATTTTAAAAAGTATGAGGATAGAACAAATATTCTACTAAATTAAATAATTTAATTAATAAGCCTTTTAAAAAATCTTCATATGAAAGCTAATCCTCAAATATAAAATCTATTAAAGGTTTACGATAAGTCCCTTAAAAAATATTCAAGACTAACTTTTGATTAAATTCCGTAATCCCTAGAAAGTTAACTTTAAAATGGATCCTTAAATGATCGTTTTAAGCCGTTTCAAGCTATAGAAGTTGGACTGTAAAACAAAACGGTTAATTTCGAACTGAATGCAGTTGCTGGGCAGCCAAGTGGAGATCTCGGCGTGTAGGTGTACAAACGATTCGCCGTTTATCTCTCTTAATCTGTGCGTTCGCACTCTCTCGGACCTGACACTCATAATTAAAGAAACAAATAAAGCAGAGCGGCGGCTGCTGTGGCTGCTGCGTCTGCGCAGCGGTCACATTTGCATAGCAGCAGCAGCAACATCGCTGGCAACAGCAACACCAGCAGCAACATCAAGACAGCAGCAACAGCAACAGCAACTATAGGAAACCAAGACCTCGGCACTTGTCGTGTCTTGAAAAGCTTCGCTGCCTTGACTTTGACTTTGGCCAAAAGCTCTCTTTTCAGCCAAGACTTGTTGTTGCTGCCGCTGACGATGTTGCTGTTGCTGCTGCCCCTGATGTTGCTGTTGCTGCCGCCGATGTTGCTGCTGCTGGCGACTGCGACCGCGGCTGCTTGTCTTGGTTCTTTAAGTCCGTGGCTGGCTGGCTCCTCTTCAGTTCGTTGCTGACCATCGTTACGTGCGGACGTGCCCAGCTCAGCTCATCTCCGTGTGATGTGGCTGCACTTTGCACACCAAACTCAAATTCAAGACTCTAAGACAAACGTTTGAAAATTGAATGCCAAAAGTGCCGCGACGCGTGTGACAAATATATATAAAAAAAACCAAAAACGGTAGCTAAAAAAATGTTCACAAAAAATACAAGCAAGCAAGAAAAAAAAGGAGGAAATAATAATAATAATATAATCAAAAGGGGTATTTTTTGGAATTGGACTAAGGCGCGGCCAACGGGCCAACTGAGTGTAATTTCAGTTTTCTTGCGCACACACTCGCCAGGAAAACAAACAAACAAACCAACCAACCAACCGACAAACAAACAGCGAGCGGCCAGATAGACAAACATACATGGGAAGGCAGTCAAGTGAAGACAGCGCAGCGCAGCGTTCTCCTGTCCAGTTTGCTGGAGATGCTGGATTGGAGATGCAGTGGCAGTGGCACCAGAACACAGAGCACAGAACGCAGATGCAGATGCACCCAAAGCCAGTCTCGGTTTCAGCTCGGATCTGGCTTTAACTTTGGCTCCAAACTGCAACTCCAAACTGCAAACCAAACTCCGAAACCCCAGCCACATGTGCTGGTGGTGCAGTCGCCATATTGGGTGCATAACGGTGCTAGAATCGCGCTGCTCTTTGCTTTTTTGCCTTGTGTCTGAGTGTCTCGGTTGGAGTCTTGGCCAGGCTTTTTCAGTTGCCTCTCGGTGCATCGCATCGCATCGCATCGCATTGATGACGACCCAGCGACCGATAGACCAAGCGCAAAAACCGCAAACTAAAAATGCTGTTCCAGCCACCCAGCGACCCGCTCTTCTGCGGTCGTCAGCCCAACACTTTGCACATGCTGATCGATTGCGGAAGATCTCCGCCATCACCATCTCCATCTGTGAATCCACATCTATCTGCATCTCGTCGGCTGACTGGGTCACAAGATTAAGCCGGCCAATTTTTCAGACACGCCCCTTGACCAAATGCAAATAATGAAACATAATTCGGGATCCAAGAAATAGAAAAAAACCTAGAAAAAATAGAACCCATTTTAGTGTATCTTGGCTTGAAATCGGTAAAGTTCAGAAAGAAAATATAAATTTTGAAGCCCTTGATTTATAGCCATTAATTATTTTGTTAAAACTCCTAAAAGAAAAAGCTGTATAGGTTCATATAAAATGTAATGGATTGGCTTTAAATGATATAATATTTGTTTAACGAATAATAATCAAAATTATCGGGCAAAAATCCCTATTAAAGAATATTAAAGTACTTATCAACTGGCATTTAAATATAAATTTTAATAAAGACAGAGGAAAATGAAAAATAATTTTTTAAAGTTTTCTCTGTTTTTGTTTTTGACTTTCAATGATAAAATAGAATCCAAGCCGTGTTTCTCAGTGCAGCGACTAGTTCTCAGGCCATCTCACCTTAGACCAATTTAAATCGAACTCCAAAGCCCAGCTTCATTGTCAGCTCCGCTTTTCCCTTCCCTTTTTCCCTTTTTCTCATTTTTTATTAAGTTATAAAAATGCTAGAGTTCGTAGATGTTTTATATCGGCACCGAGCTCTTTTTTTCTTCCACTCAACCGACTAACGGTAATGCCCTAGAGCGCCACATTCTCAGTCTTCAGACCCAGTCTACAGACCAGAGCTCCTCGGCCCAGACTCATGCATTGCAATAAAATGAAATTTTATAACAGCGGCGGCAGAAGGGAGCAGAGCAGATACAACGAAAGGCAACAAAAAAAAACGTTACCCAAATTCCGACTAAAAAAAAAGACACAAAAGCGGAGAAAAACAGAGGGAGACAGACAAAGGTCGTCACAGCAAGTGAAAATAGCAAAAAAAAAAAAAAAAGAAGAAAAAAACCTACAACGGTCGAGAAAAATAAACGAAATAAGTTTTAGGGCCTAGTGGTCAACAGCTAGGTGGCTCAGGTGTTAATTTCCCATTTTCGGCTTTTCGACTTTTCGGCTGCCGCCGCAAGTTCGCTGCCTAAGTCTTTCGTTTTAAAGTGGAGCGACCGAGCGACCGAGTGCGCCGCTCGAATGCCCATTGAATGCGAATGAGGGGCGTGTGAGCCGCCAGCCGCAAGCCGGCCGGTTCCGACAACTGCAAAATAATAAAACAGAAATTATTATTATTATTTCCCTCTTCTTTTTTTTTTCGTTGTTAGTGGGGCGCATTTCCTTTACCCCAAAAAAAATACAACAAAAAATACAGAAGAAAAGAAAAAAATAAGAAACGTTTTCGTTCCGTTTTTGACCCTCAGAGTTCAGAGTTTAAGTCACCGACTCCTTTCCACAGCACAAAACATATATTAACGACTGCAACTGCAACGAGAGGAGTACCAGCTACAGGAAAATAGAAAATAGCCCAAGAAAGCAGCGGCAGCAGCAGCAGCGAAAATCGAATAACGAAAAATAAAACACACAAAAGGAGGGAAAAGCGAGAAAAGCCATCCCAGGGAGATCCCAGGCAGCTTCTTGGCGATTCAGAAGCGGCAATGACGGCGACTGCGGGGCAGTCGGCAGCATCGAGAAAGCAACAACCTGCGATCGCCATGCTCAATGGAAACGCTTTTACGGTTAAGCGGCTCTTAGCGGTAAGTAAACTCATCTGTGGGCAAAAAACAGAAAAAAATATATAAAAATTGCACTCCCCCACATACAAAAGTGATCATTTGGGGCGTTGCCAATTCAAATCGCTCCAAAAAGGCAGCCAAAGCAAATGTTTGTCACCCGGTCAGAGCTCCATTGTTGAGCACTTTTTCGCTTTCTTAAACAAACGATTCATTTTTTGGCACAATTTTTCAGTATTTTTATTTTTTTGATATTTTTGGCGTGGGCACTTCAATCGTGGGCCGCGCTGCTCCCCAAGTTCTTTCTTTCTCGTGTGTAAAGAGCTGTGAAGTCGGCCATTGGGTCAAATTGTAGCTGATAGATGGATAGGCAGGCGTCGAAGATCATGATGAAGTCGAGACCACGTTCGGTTGGGGGTCGCCACTTCGCCAGCTGAGTAATGTGGTTAAATTAATCTAATAAAAGGTGGGAGTCTTCTTTGGGCCGACCATCATCCAAAAAAAATAAAGAGGGGAAAAAAATAAAAGCACAAGATGGGGCATTAAGTTTAGTGAATTATTTGCTTCATAAAGTTTCATTGCCCAGCACTTAATCATTATTACCAAGGGAAGCGTCATTATGCGATTGCTATGGGAACTAGTTTGACTATTAATAAACGCTTCTATTGAATTTGTGGGCTATTTTCGGATTCCGGGAAAGGCAGAGAAATAATAGAGAGGAAGTGAGGTTCGCTTAAGTTATTTTATTGTCTGCATGCAAAGTTTTATCAAAGCCCAAGATTTCCTTTTATTATTTGTGAGTTACCTACATTCATTTGTTATGAAATTTTGGAGAAATTATAAGGAAATCCTACTTGTTTCGGGTGGGGAAATTGAATTACCATAATAAAGTAAGCCAAAAATATATGATTTTGTATTTATCTAAACTAGAATTCCGCAATAATATCAAATACTTCATTAAATATAATATACCTTTTTATTATTGTTAAATTTCGATTACTTATAAAATGAGTCATAAATATATGATTTTGAATTTATTTTAACTAGAATTCCACAATAATATTAAAGACTTCCTTATATAAAAGATTTCCACATTAATAATTTATATACCATGCTGTTTATGGTTACATTTTGTTAATTTATTTATTAAAAGTTGATCATTTTAAATTAATTTTCCGCGTTTACCATTTGCATGTAATAAATATTGATCGATGATTCTAAATCAACTTCTGTAATTCAATTAGATTTTCTCATTCAATGAACAATCAATTCATGGTGCTAAATCAATGGAACCTCTTGGCTAGAAAGCCATCGGCCAAGGGCTTCTCCACTGCAGCACTTCAGAGAAAAAGAGAGAGAAAATCTCCCTCCACCAGTTTTCCACTTCATCCAAGACTAACAAACAATTTATCCGTTCCGATGTTGTTTGTTATTATGTTTCGCTGCCCTCGGCCGGCCCATTCAGCCCATTTTGAGCCAAGTGCATTAAGTCTTGGCCAGAAGAGTCGGTTAGCCAGATAGCCAGCTATCCAGCTATCCAGAAAGCCGCTGCATCTGTGCGCTCCACCTGCATTCGGGGCGGCCAAAGGTCAGCAGACGGTCTGGCGCCCGACGATCATTAAAAGAGTACGAAAGTAATTTGTAAAACACGAAAAATTATCTACTCTTTTTTCGCTGCTGCCCGTGTCTTGCTGTTCTTTTACGATTCTAAATTACAATGACTGCAGCGGCGGCGTCCAGAAGAAATGCCACTGCAACGGGTCTTCATTAGCGCAGACTGGCAATAAACCCACAAAAAAGCAGAAAAATAAATAAGCCAAGTCAGTTGATGAATGGGGTTTTCGGGCAGTTCGGGCCCGAAGATGAATGGCCAGGCGGAGGATTGCAAATGGACGGGTGGACACGGGCTGACGGCTATTAGCCTTCTGCCTGCAGATCTTTTGGGCAGTTGACAATTCTTGGCCAACGAGGAAAGTAACTTGGCCCCCTAGTTATTGGGTCAAATCGAAGCACAAACACACTCGGCTCTAATGGCCAACGGCCTCTCTCTTTATTCTACCCAGTGCCTCGTGCTCGAAAGCCTCTCGAAAGCGTAATTAAACAATTTCTTCTCTGTTTATTGACATTTTATTGATGCCGCCGAGCTTCGACGGTTTCATTTCATTTCTGGTTTGTTGTTTGTGATTCCAATTCCTATTGCGATACCGATACTTTTCCCATTCGACGACTTGTTTGTATTGTTGCTACCATTGAGCGCGATACTCCTCAGTTTTCAATGGGTAAAATGGTCGAGGGTTTGCCATTGGGGCCCATGAAGAGCTGCAAGTGTTGTTTTGACTAGATGAGTGCTTGAATGAGTGGCGAAATGATCTCGAGACCCGAGGAAAACACCTCTGAATGGGGATTATGTGGTGTAGTTTGTGTATCTGTTTGTTGTTCAATAAACCCAATTTAATGATTTTGATAGTTAAATAAATGTTGCGGAGAAAGCCTTGCATAAAAAGAAATGGTTTCTTAACAGCAAAACAGAATTATTTAAAAGAACTGATTGCTTATATAAATTTAGATTACTTTAATGAGTGAAATGGTTTTTCTATTTTAACCCCGAAATAACTTTCTGATAATAACCACTTTTCCATGAATTCTTAGTAATTTTCACATTTCTTATGAAAACAATTTCTCATAACCATTTATCACAATCAGGGGGTTAGCAATGCCAACAAAGTTGCATTCCGCCAAACGATCCTAACTGTGTTTCTAATGTCTCAACTTGTACGATTTGCCCAAGAGTTGCGTGTCTGCGGAATTGGAATCCAAATCGGAGAGTTCTTACCAATTAGCCGAGGCCGGGGAATTCCCCCTGCAAAGTTTATGTAATCATTGGATTTAATGCGTTAACAAATTTAAGCAGAAATCAGAGAAATAACACCAAAGGCGGGGGAGTTCGTAGTACCGTTTGCCAATATGCAAAACCCAGAACCGAAAAACCAGAACCCAGAGGAGGAAGCCCAGTTACCTAACTCGTATCTGTATCTGTTTTGGTTTTGGTTTCGGTTAGGTAATGGCAATCCCAGAGGCCGGGCCGTAATTAATGGCGTGTGGCGCTCATTCGCGATGAGCAGAAAGTACATTGCACCCTGTGTGTGTTGGCCACAAAATTCAGCTTATTTATTAGCCAGTTGTTCTAACTGCAAAATGAGGAAAATCAGCCCAAAAACATATACGAAGAGCAGTCGGTTGGTAGTGGGTACCCTTGGCTGTTTGTTTCTTTCTTTCTTTTTTTTTTTTTAATTATAGATCCCGGCCAATCCCACCCCACCTTCTTGGGATGGGCGTGTGTTCGGTGTTCAGGCAACTGTTAATTTTGCCTTACAACTCTTTGTAGCATCTGATATAACGTTAACTGTGTCTGCGTCAAAACAAAGGCCCGCTCGCAGATGCCGTAGATAGGTAGCTCATAGCTACAAGATACCTTTACACACATCGCACTTCATTCATAAAAGAAAAAACAGAACCGCAGCTCGTATGATCTGCTACGATTAACTACGGATTTTACGGCTCTTTCGTCGGACATTTGGCCCACAGGTAATTCCGTGTACTCGGGCAATTTGTTCGGCACTATAACAAGAAATGGTCAAGACCGCGCCGGCCAATTTGTTGGCTCATTTCGGTTCGGGGCCCCGTGCCCGATTTAATCATGGTTTATGCAAAGCTGGGCACCTAATTGAAAGAATTAAGTGATGTAATAAATAACAGATCACAGATCTAAGGCGATTTCATAATGTTCGGCTCGTTAAATAATTTTTTGCCTTTCTGATTGCGACTTCTTATAAGGAGATAATAATACGGAGATGTTCGGCATTCCAAGGGAAATGAGTGCTATGTGAGCTAAATGTGCAGTTTATAAATTAGATGCCGCTAATTGTTATAGGGAATAATATAAGGGCTTATAAGAAAATGAAGATGAGTTAAGTGCAAATCTAATCTGTACAGGAATGCATATACCAAAGAATTTTTTGATTTTCTAATAGTATTTCATGTTAATAAAATGAAAAAAATTGTGTCAGGTAGAATGGACGGTTACCGTGATAAAAAATTTAATATTATAATAGAATATGGTGTACTTATTATATTATTAACAGTTTTATATAGGTAACCATTGACTTCTTTTGAATTATGAAAAATACCAAGTTTAAGGCTCTAATCTCCTTAGTTTCCTGTCTTAAACTTCTCTAATTTCTTGTGTATTTCAATCCCTTTCAGCTGCTGATCATCTTCACAGTTCTGGACGCGAGTCGAGCCCTGGAACTGGGCGACAAGTGCCAGCATGACATGGACTGCACGGATTTCATCAAGGGCAGCAGCTGCTCCGCCCTCGGATACTGCGAGTGCGCCCCCTACTTTGTCCAGTTGGATTCCAAGCGCTGTTTGTCATGTAAGTAGGCAAAGTCAATCTTTGGCTAACCCCAAAGTGGGAGTACAGAATGTTTGCCGGGCAAACAATGGGGCGGAGATGTGTGTGTTTGTCCACAGAGGAACCGTTAGATGCACTCACTGCGACTTTCTTTACACAGAGAAAACAATTCTAACAATTTCCTGAGTAAAATTAGTAATGCAAATGGGAGTCGCTTGAAATTTAAATTAGTATTTACCAATGAAAAACTATGCGATCCTATGAGAAGACTTGAATTCATCAATAAATGATCTATTTTATTTCAATTTTATTTGAGAGTTAGCAGTCAGTTGCAACGACTTTTTAATTTACTTTAGCATCCCATAAAAACGAATTATTAGTTTAGTGTTTCCATTTGCTTTACCTTTCTTTCGTGGACAAAAACTCTCAATAATTCTTAAACATTTTCCCTAACGAGGGGCTTAAAGTTAATTTTGAGATGATTAGATCTCGGAATCTCTGTTTATTATTCCTATTATATTTTTCCCACGAAACGACACCATCTAATGGGTCGATTGAAATTGAATTTAATATGATTGTTAATGGCATTTTTACCCCCTTCCAGCCCAACTTCTTGGCGGCGACTGCCAGCTGAGCGAGCAGTGCTCCATGAAGGTGGCCAACAGCAGTTGTCTTCAGGGCGCCTGTCGCTGCGTCGAGGGATTCCTGCAGTTCCGCAAGCACACCTGTCTGGGACGTAAGTATCAGCCGACCGCCGGCCAGCTATTGTGGCCCTAATCCTCCAGATTGCCCGGGATTATTAGCACTACTATTTGTACTTATAATATCATTAACTGTTCGGTGTTCGGTGTGTGTGTGTTTTGGTGAATTGCAATAAACGGACAGCCGGGCAGCCGACTAATAATCCCCACTCTGATTGCTTATCATTTCTCGTCTCTCCCCTGGAATGTCACGCAATGCCCATAGGTATACCATATAGGTATACCCATAGTTTGAACAGACCCATACACTCCTATTTCCTGTTTGCCGTTCGTCAACACTTCGGTCCTACGGGGTTCTCTCCTTTCGCTGCCACTTGACACTGGCAATTAACACTGAAAACGGCCGTGTGTAACAATAACAATAACAATGAAACAAGACAATCGTGTCACTAATTATACGCATAATTGGTTAATCTTCCAAGAACTGGCTAACAACCTGGTGGAAACTGCAGATCGTTGAACGTTCAAAACGTTCAAAACGTTAAATGTAAAATGTAAATGTTTGGCTTCGATCTCTCCCTGTTTTCGTTTCTGTTTGTGCAATGCAATGTGTGAAAGATACATTTTAAGATACTTCTTGGCTCTGCAACAAGTTGCACAGTCGAACTCTCCTAGGGCTCTGGGCTAAAAAAAGAACCTGTGACTCATATCACGGGCTGTGGAATAAATCATTGGCATGTGACTCACGTGGTGACTAAGAAAGAAATTTATGGGATAAAGATTACAGAAATTATTCGACAGTGGGGTAAAGAAACGCTTTTTTCTATTTAGATTATATCGTTTTGGGAAGGGAACTACCAGTCTTCAGAAAATATAATTAATTCCTGACGAATTGGATTTTAATTCTTTTTAGATTTGATAAAGAATTTTATAAAGAACATTTTCTAGTGCTAGAATTTTTTTATATAATATTTTGTGTACTTATTTCTGACATTTTTATCCGAATTTTCTTTATTTTTTTTTTAAATACAAATATATTAAAAAGATTTAAATGGCCATTATTTATTTTATCGATCAAATAGTTTAGCGACGTTTTATTTTCATCATTGGTATGATATTTAGTGATTTAGTGGAGTGAATAAGTTTGATCTTAGGTTCTAGAAAACCAATATCCAGCCCTGCAGCGATTTCAATCTAGTTTGAATTCGCTCCACTTCCTTTTGGCACATTGGCGCCAAGTGGCGTTAATCTGATTAGAATGTTGACTAGAATCGAGAGGCCATTTCCCCACCCCTCCACCAACCAGCGACTTCTTTAAACTCTAAACACGCCAAAAGCAGAGCAATGATGCACGATCGTGGACATGGCGGCTTTGCAACTGGCGCAGTTCGTGTCATTGCCATTCACCTGATGTTGCATAGTCCCCTTCTCGCTCTCTAAAATCCCCTCCTTAGCTGCTGACTTAATTATATGGGATAAGAACTCAATATATATAAGTAGAGCTTGAAATTTAATTAAGGGTAATTTTAATAACAATAATAATAAGGTAAATTTACAGAAGAAGTAGAAGTGTTTTAGTTAATGCAAATTATAATTCCTCTTTGGAAATTCCATTTTAAATCTAAAGTTTAATTTTCATTACTGACTTACTGAACCATTAAATTTTGTATTCCTGGCTAGCAGAAGATGGACCAGCTGTTTTTATTAAGTCGATAAACACCAGGAGATATTTGCAATAATAATTATTTCAGGAGCTTTCCGATTTCCATTGGTTTTTCATAGGCAATTTGCAGCAGAACTTAGTGGGATCTGCATGTAAAACATATATGGGTGATAAAGATTAATGACATATTTCCTTTTATAATAATTTTTTTCGCGTGTGGAGGGGATTTTGTAGCAAGTGCAATAGGTGGCAGGCCAGTCATTTATGAGATACTTTCACCAAAAACACAATAAAAGAAAGAGGAGGCGAGAGAGCGGATTGAACCTTTCACCAGAGAGACATCCTGCCAGGGCAGCCTTCCTGCCCCCCTGCACAGAAACCGAAGTCAGAAGCCCCCTTTTGATTTGTATCTCCGGCTACTTTACATGGCTAATTGCCTCGACTCGACTCGTAATTAAATTGCACTGATTAGCCGCCGATGCAAAAGAAAGTCCAAGAAAGTTCAATTAGTTCTTAGCGCAAAAGAGATGGGGATATATAAATAAATAAGTACACCCAGAAAACAAAATGGACTAAAAAGGGGCCTAATTACCTAAAATTTTAGGAAATATGGCCAGAAAAACGCGCCAAGGCCATGCATTACCTAAAATGTTGTCCATGTGGACTATATTTTGTACGCAGTCTTGAATTTATTTCTGGTAATGGTTACCTAAAAAAATGGCTAGTGGACTAGATTTTTAGGTCAGAATTACCTAAATATTAGGTATTTAAAAAAAAGCTAGGATTTTTACTATTGATAGTAACATATTTGATTATTTTAATTGCTTATATTGTATTATTCGGAAAAGCAAATATTTTATCTTTCTGAAAAAACAATCACTTTATTTTGTCCTCGGTGGGAATCGATCCCGGGTCTTCTGCGCGAGAGTCCAATAGGCTAGCCTCTGGTCTACGGAACTACTTAAAGGCCCTGCGGCAAAACCAAAGCCTGCTTCAAGGGGCTCAGGCGAATTCTATTTTTAGAATAGGGCACTATTACCTTAAAAGTAGGAAAATAGTCCACGTAGGTATTGATTTTATATATTGAAACTTTTCCATCACTAGCTTTAAGAAAAGTCTAAAAAATTTTTTAACATTAAACTTAAAAAACCGAATAATTTGTTTATTAATATTAGGGACCAATATTTGTATTAAGTTGTGAGTGATAATCGACTTTAAATTATTCCTAAATTTTAGGTCTTATGGACCAATTTGAAGGTTACGATGGCCTATAAAAATCTCTTTAGCTTTACGTAAAAAGTAGGAACATAGTCCACATGCTAATATTTTTAGGTAACCCATTACCTAAATCTGAAATTTTAGTCTATTTAAATTTTTTAGGTCATACGTTACCTAAAAAATAGTCCCACATTTCTCTGGGTGTAGACAGCTGGAATTCCCCGGGAATGGTTAGAGAAATGCCGAAAAAAAAACTTTCCTGTATGCAGTTGACAAAAATGCTGCACACATTCGGCTTTGGGATTGGCCATTCACTTCACTTCGCGGGTCAAGTGAAGCAAGTGGTGTCCCAGATTTTGTTGGCTTGTCAGGCTTTCCATTTGGCCACTTGTTCCAGTTTCCCATGCACCTTAACCCATCGGGCCCAAGCCCATTCCGGGATTGGCTCATTCGGATACCCGTTTTTTGCTCAGTTCGGTAGCCTTAACGCTCTTAACGAGCCACCGCCGCCAACAATGAGCCACTTCCTCCTCCCATCTGCAGATCTCCTCGGATCTTTATGAGTTATATATGCACATATGACAACTCCCCCTTCGCATCGCCAGGCGGCTCTTTAGTCTACTCTACTCTCCCCGTTTCACGGGCTGCGGGAAAAAGTATGCCAAATATATATACCATACTATAGTATGGTATGGTATAGTATGGTGTGCGGCAAACAGATAATGAACATATAGCCCAGACACACGGCCAAACAACGGAGGCTGCGACTGTCAGCCAGATCGAGATCTTCTGCATACAAAGTTGCAGGAAAAGTGAACCACTCTGACGTCGTCGATCATCAGGTGCACAAAGAAAAACCAGTAGATTCCAGATTGATTTAAGGGGATATTGCTTAGAAATCATTGAAAGTTTCTTATGATAGAATACAGTTTTCTTTGAGTTAAGGTATGGGTATCTCTAAAGTCTTGTAAGAAATAGTCTTTAAAGTCTGTAAAGATATTTCTGGTTGATTTTCGGGGATATTCCTTGGAAATCATTTTCCATGACAGATTAGAGTTTTCTTTAAGCAACGATATTAAAATCCTTAAAGTCTTTTAAGTTTTTTAAAAAAATTTTAGTTTTATATTTTGAAACTGTGGAAATCGATAATTTCCCAAAAATTGCATAAATAAAATATGGTTAAGTCACATATCTGAAAATCTCAGTTCCTGTTTTAAATTTATTTAGTTATTACTATTAAATAATTTATATTGATAGTTTAAAAATAATATTTGCTTGAACAATTTTTGGCATTCAAAATACCTCTTTTTTATTTGCTCGTTGTCTTGCAATATTTCTAGTAAAAATACATATCCAAACTAGTTTTTTGGTGATGATTTCCGAGTTGTCTTGATATCCAAAAATATACAGCATTTAATGGCATTCCCTAGTCTCATTATATAAGGCTTAGGAAATCCACTAGTCACCCTGCCCAGCCACTTGGCTCACTTTCTTCCTGCCTCAACACCTTCGCAAACCGAAAACAGGGAAAATACTTTCCATTGCGACACCTTGCACCCAAAAAATGGTTTAAAATGGAAAGAAGGAAAGAAAGAAAAGACCAAAACGCCACCGAAAAATTCCATTTCATTTCGCATGACCCACTAAGTCAGTCAGTCAAACTGTGTTAATTTGCGGCTAGAAACAAAAAAAGAGAGAAAAAACCGAAAAAAAAATGTTTCTTGAATGGCCATTTCAAACTAAATTGCGCCAAATGCCAAATTGCATGCAAATTATGTGGAACAGTCGACTTCCGCAAAGAGACAATACTAATAATAATTATAATAATAATGGCCAAAAACTTAATATTTACAACTAGCAAATGCAAATTGCCGCTTTTAATTTACTTTTGACTTCAATGGGGATTCCTATGGTTTATTTTCCTTTTTTCTATGGCAATTGGCTTTTGCGCCTAATGAAAGTCGACGGCATAAATAGACTTATTATAGCCGCAGGAATGCTGCCGCAGATTGAGATACATTTGTAGTATCTGTATCTGTATTTCTGTATCTGTGCGTGCCAGGCGGTTGACACAGTTTTGCAATTCCGGCCACCGGCGGCGAATCAGCCAAAGACAATAAAGCCGCGGAAGCAGCGATTTAATTTATGCTGATTTCGATGGAAATTATTGTTTATGATGCGAGCCATCCCGCAGCGCAGCACCGCTCCAAAGATCTATCTCCCAGCTCTTAGCTCTCAGATCCCAGATACCATATATATATATACCATATACCAACTGCCACATCCATTGGGCAATTTTCACACGCGTCGCAGCTTTAGCCGTAATCGAAGTGGGTTAGGTTAGCAGTTGCAGTCGTGCTGCGATTCGCATGCAAGATGCGAGATGCAACCTGTCATACCAGCAGCCCCGAAAAGGGGCGGCAGGGAGGTGGAGGGGTGGAAAGGTGGAGGGGCGGGGCCAGCGATAAGTGGCCATGGCATTGGCCCCCAGCCTATCGATCATCGTTTTTGGTGGCCAGCTCAGAGGCGTCTCCTCCTGCCCAAGATGGGTCACTGAAACAATATACGGCTGCACGCGGGAAAATCTTTATAACCCTGTACCACTTTAAAAATCTGAACTTTTTGTTTTAGTTTACAATCCAAATACTTAATAGTTGTATTAAACAAAACAACTATTTTAAAAATAGTAACATAGAACCTCTTATTTTATGAAACCGCTTTTCTACATATTTGTTTTAGTTTCCAAATAGAGGATGCGTAGAAAAATTCAGTACTTTTACTAAGTCTTTTGTAATATTAAGTTATAATATGAAATTTTAACATAATTTTCGTTGCAAATCGTATAAAGCTAAATAGCTGCATCGCCTTATAATTTGATTTAATAAATTGCTTGATTTTTTTTAAAAGATTGTTAAAATATAACAAAAAAAGGATCTGAAGTAAATTATTTAGCTGCACGTTTGAGTTCCTTATTATTTTGTTTTAATAAATTGTTCACATTTTTTTAAATAGTTAAAATTGAACAAAACCTAAAAAATAATTTTATCTTATTTATTTAGTTTCACTTTTGAATGCCAATTCTAAATTTTCACAAAACAATAATTTTTAAATCGGCTTTATATCTATTTTTAAAGTTAGAATGAATAGAGAATTTTATTTCTTCCTGTGTGACCGCTTCTTATGCTGTTATATAAAAGTGAAAGATGGGGCCAACCGCTCGGAGTCCGCTGAAACCCCCCTGGACTCTTCCTGCTTCGCGTTTAATCCATATTGGTGTCAAACTGCGGCAAGACACGTTTGAGCTACTCGCATTTGGAATGGCAATGGCAATGGCAGTGGAAATGGCAGAGCGCAGAGCTTAGAGCTCAGAGCGCAGTGTCAGTGTCAGGCGGTGCATTCGTTAAGTATACGCCACGCTGGCCGTATGCCTTTTATGTGCCTCGGAGTCACCGTTCTCAACCGGTTCCCCAATGGCCTTTTGGCCAATGCCAGCGTTGCCTTTTGTGAGTTGCCGACAAATGTCGGTTTTTGTGGTCGAAATTCCCGCGAGAAAACCCAGTTGGCTTTTGGCTGGGCCAGGATAAAGGGTATAGCGATTTATGATCGCGTTTCGGATTCCAATCCAATTGAATGCCAGCTAGCTGGAGGCAAATGGAAATGGAAATGGAAATGGGATCTCCTTGGCCAGACACTGGCCAAAGGGCAGCTGCAGGTGGCTGCTTTGGCTGCTTTTTGAAATGGTAAATGCCATGTCGCCAGTTGCTAGTTGCAAGTTGCTAGTTGCTAGTTGCAAGTTGCAACTAGCTGGCAAGCTAAAAACGAAACAAGTGAAAACAAGTTGGAGCGGCAGTCCGGAAAGTGGGTCAGAGCTGAGATTCCAGAGGAGGACAGTGGCAGACACGCAGGTGGCTCAGTCTTCAGTCTTCGGTCTTCGGAGCAGGCAACAGTCGCCGTCTCTTTTTAGCCAGTTATCGGCGAGTGGAATGCTGATGAGGAACGGTAATGGGAATGGGCGACGTCACCGACGTTTCAGCGTCATCTTCTGGTTCCCAACTGATCCCCTTCTTAGCCAAGTTATGCACAGAAAAAAATGGGGAAAACGATTTGATTTTATAAGAAAGAAAAAATATTTTAAAGAATTATAACGAACTTTTTTAAAGGTTATTTGTATTTCGTAGTTATCAAATGTTACCAGGTTTACCTAAATCTTTAGTGTGACCTTGCATTTGAAAACAAGTTTTTTTTAGGTTGTTTTGAAAGATTTTATATATATTTTGTTTTAGTTCTTTGGACTCTAATTTTTTTTTCTCTGCACCAATCTCGGTTATTCTCTGTACTTCTCTTTCGGCCATGCGTTCAGGCTGATGCAGTTGCAGTTGACTTTATTGACGGTTATTAGGCTTGTCGAAGGCGGGCTAATGCTCTGATGTTGTTCTTGTTCTTGTTGCGACTGCTCCTCCCTGTTCGGTTCTTTTCTGCTCTTTTCTGTTCTGGTGTGGCTCTTCATGATGATGATGATGAGTTTTTAATATGCATTTGGTGCTTGGAGTTCGGTTTACGGTTAGCTTAATAACATATCGCATCCATTTACAACCCCCTGACTATAAGAAAAACACACACCACTCTTGCAAGCAAAAATACAAAGTATCTCACGAGAACTTTTCGCAACTGATCTTTATCTTTACCTTTATCTCTATCTTCATCTACCACCCACAGCTGCCCATCCTGGCGCCGTTTGCTACAGCCACGCCCACTGTCAAATGTTCGACACCCGCACCCACTGCGACTTCCTCATCCCGAATCTCTTCGGACGCTGCCAGTGCACCAGTCCCGCCAAAATGGTGGGTGGTCTCTGTGTGGCCCCAGCGGCGGATCAGGAGGAACAGCAGCCCATTGAAAAGGTGGAGCAGCCAGCTAAAGCAACCACAACCACGACGACAACCACCACTCCCAAACCCACAACGACAACAAGGAGAACAACTACGACAACAACGACAACTACTCCTGCACCCACAACAACGAGCAGAAGAACAACGACCACAACCACGACCACAACACCTTTGCCCATTCTCCTGGAGGATGAACTGCCCGCCAGCGTGGAGGAGCAATCGCTGGAGGAGGACGATGGCGAGGCTACCAAGCTGAGGCCCGAGGTCGCCGAGGTGGATAATGGTGAGAAACTGGAGGCAGTGGACATGGCTCATGAGGAAACCGAGCTGACACAGCAGCAGCATCAGGAGGAGGAGCAGCAAAAGCAGGAGGAGGAGCAACAAAGAGTGGAAGAACAGCAACATCAAGAGGAACCCCAATCCCCTCAAGATGCCACCACTGGAATCCAGCAGCTGCTGACACCCGCCGATGTGCCAACCGAGAATGCCATTAATGTGGAGCAGGAAACCGAGGCTGGACCCACCGAGGATTATCCCTACAAGATCGATGAGGAGTACGCGGAGGAGCACAATGAGAAGCCAGAAGAAACCCCCGAGGCACCTCAAATCGCACCCATCGAAGCTGAAGAAGAGGAGGCTGCTGAGGCGGAGGCATCGGGAGGCCAAGAGATTGCCTCATCGCCCATCGTCGACGACACCATGAAATTCGATTATGAAAGCCCAGTGGAAGAGGCAGAGAAGCAGGAGGAGCACACTAACGAGGGGGTGGTGCCCATCGACACCGAGAGCGAGACTGATGCGGAGACCAGCACCGAGCACCCGATCCAGACGCAGCTGATTGAGGAGGAGGACGAGGAGACCCCAGAGACATCATCGCAGACGGTGGCCGATGAAGAACTGATCCCGGTTAATCATGCTGAAATCGAAAGTGCGACGAAGGCCGCAGTTGCAGCCGAAGAGGCTGAGGATCTGGCTTCAGGGGATCATGAGCTCGCAGAAGAAGAAGTTGCTGAGGCTGAGGAGCAGCCAACAGAAGCGTTGAAGATCGAGGAGCCAGCCCAGGTGGAGAGTGAAAGCCCAGTTGCTGAGGTGGCAAAACCAGAGGAGCCAGAAATCGAAAAAGAAGCCGCAGAAGTGGAGCTACCGGCCACAGAAGCCACCAAGCCAGCAGATGTGGAATCTGAGATCGATCAGGCGGAACAAAGCGCCGACATCAAGCCGACAAGTGGCGAAGATGATTTAAATGAAGCCAATCAATTAAATCAAGAGCAAGTCACCGAGGCAGCGGCTCAAGAGGAGCAAGAGCCCGAACAGGTGGTGGAAATCCATCAGGATGCAGATGAAGCCACAACAGAGAAACCAGTCCAAGAGCACAGCGAGCAGGAGGTGGAGGCAATCACCGAAGCGGAGCACGAACAATTGACATACCCAGCAAATGATGATGAATTGGCGCCAGTGGAAGCAGAAGCAGAAGTAGAAGCTGAAAAAGAAACAGAGCTGACCACAGAGGAACCAGAAATCGCCGAGATTACCACAGAGCTGACTGAGGAGGCTGAGGAGGAGGCGGCACATGGGGAGGAGGAGCAACAGGTGGAGACCGAGGAAAATGCAAATGCAATTAAGACGCCCGAAGTGTCGGAAGCAATTGCGGAGCCCCAGGCGCAGATGGAGATCCAGTCTGCTACTGAGAAAGAGATCGAGGCGGAGACAACCGCAGATGCCGAGGAGGAAAAGGAGGAGGATGAGCAGGAGAAGGAGGAGGAACCAGTGGCGGTAACCGAGCAGATCCAAGATGCGGATCAGGCCAAGCCAGAGCTGCCAATTAAGAGCGATGGAGATATCTCAGTGGAGGCCACCGAGGAGCCCGAAAGCGAACCAGAAACCGAGGCTAGCGAAAGTTCCCAGACTCTGCCCGAGATCAGCAAAGATCAGCATGATGAAGCCGAGGTCGAGGCTGAGGTCGAGAAGAACGAGAATGACAACATTATCCAGGGAGCAGAGCCCACCGAAGAGCAGGAAGTGCTGCCCGAACCTGAAGCGGAATCGGAAAAGGAAGAATTGCCAGTGGAAGAATCGCTAGTGGAAGAAACTCCAGTGAAAGAATCTCCCGTGGAAGAATCTCCAGTGGAAGAAACTCCTGTGGAAGAATCTCCAGAGGAAGAATCGCCAGTGAAAGAATCTCCAGAGGAAGAATCGCCAGTGAAAGAATCTCCAGTGGAAAAAACTCCCGTAGAAGAATCTCCAGTGAAAGAATCTCCAGTGGAAGAAACTCCAGAGGAAGAATTGCCTGTGAAAGAATCTCCAGTGGAAGAATCTATAGTAGAAGAATCTCCTGTAAAAGAATCTCCTGTAGAAGAATCGCCAGTGAATGAATCTCCAGTAGAAGAATCTCCAGTGATCGAAGCTCAGCCAGAAGAAATCCCATCAGTTGCTCCCGAAGAAGAGCAGCCAGAAGAAACCACCGCTGCTGCTATCGATACAGAAGAAGAATCGGAACCCGTCGAGTCCACTTTGGCCCCGGAGATTCCGGAATCACCCATTGCCATTGTGAGCGAAGAGCACGATCCCGAGCACGATCCCCAGAACTTCCATGAGAGCGAGAGCATTGCCGATATCCTGAGCGACCTGATGTTGGAGGGCGACAGCACAGTGCCCCCGGTTCCATTTGGCCAGCAGCCCGCCCAAACGGTGCCCATGGTGGAGGCCAACTCGGAGAACGAGGAGGAGCAACCGCACGAGGCCATTGCCGATCTTCAGGCCGAAGCCGATGAGACCCAAGATCATGTGGAGCAAGTGCATCCCGAGGCTGAGGAGGCAGTACCCGCCATTCCGGAACTGTTTGCAGAGGCGGCCAACGAGGATGATGAGGAGGAGGAGGAGCAGCAGGTGACCCCCATTCCCGAGCAGCCAGAAAAGGTTATAGAGGAGGAGCAACCCATTGAAGAGGAGCAACACCAACAGGATGAAGAGGAGCATCACCTGGAGGAAGAGGAACATCAGCAGGATGAAGCGGAAATCTCCAAGGAAGAGGAGCCCATCCAGAACACCGAATCTGCAGCAGAGGAAGCCACCACTGAACTGAACCAGAAGATCGAATCCGAATCCGAAGAGGAGCGCACTCTTTCCCCCGAGGAACTGCCCTTCGATCTCACGGATCACTCCGATGCCATCCGTTTCAATGAGCTGGAATCTGACAACCTGATCCTGGAAGCCACCACCAGCATCGATGGCCTCCAAGAACTGGACAACAATGACATTGAGCAGGAGGAGGAGCATGCTGCCCCAGCAATCCCTCATGAGGAGGCCACGCCCAATCCCGCCGACATTGTGGAGATCACCACCCAGACCATGTTGGGCCTGGCCAGCCGGGTGACCCTCATGGAGCCCGCTGCTCCCGTGGTCACCACCCTGATGCCCCTGATGCCGGCCGATGAGCCCACTCCGGAACCCTCTTCCCCGGCCGCCATTCCCGCCGCCACCGCCGCCTCCGCTTCCCTGGCCGCCATTAAGCCGGGATCAGAGCTCCGCAAGCGAGTGGACTTGGGCCTAGAGGCCGTGTCCCTGGGCTTGGCCTGCAGCAGCGATCGCCAGTGTCAACTGGCCGATCCCCACACCGTCTGCAATGGCCGCGGAGTCTGCGATTGCGCCGCCGGAGACCAGGGAGCCCAGTGCAGCGCCGAAAGAACCGGATGCAGTCCGGGCACCTTCCAGGTGAGTCATTAAACTAAATAAATATAGAATTATGGATAGGATATAGAATGGTCTTCAGTTAATATCGAGGTTTGTGGAATATAAAAACAATTAGGACTTACGTTTTAAAAATATTTAAGTCAAGGTCCGCAAAAATATTTAATCTTTATCAAAAAGGTATTTCATTTTAAAAGTAGGTAAACCATAAAATGATTTTCTCTTTGTTACTATTTAGATAACATTTGCAAGTCCGCAAAGATCAGGAATTTTTGATTTTTAAGTTATTTTGGTGTTATTAATGACATCGGATTATATGCAAGCCCTTATTCTTATTATTCAAAGTACAGCAAACTTAGAAACAATTAAAATTTTAAAAAAGCTAAATGTATTTTGAATTTGTATCTGTAATCAAAGTTTGCTATAGCATATATCAATTCATATATGAATTGAATTTTAAGAATGATGATTGGGAATAAAATATTTTATAAATATTTATCAGAAATATTAATAATCTTTAACAGAACAAGTAATAAAAACAAATTTAAAGTATTAAATATTTTTGGCAGCTGAAAATTTGAATATTATGAAAATCAGTAATGTCAAGTCAGTATGTTTAAAATACATCACTTTCAATTTCAGTGCCGCTCGAGTGGCGTGTGCATCTCGTGGTTCTTCGTGTGCGACGGACGTGCCGACTGCAACGACGCCTCCGACGAGGAGTGCACCCACAACGCCCGCCTGAATCAGAGCTGCCCGACGGAGTCGTTCCGCTGCCAGCGCAGCGGTCGCTGCATCTCGCGGGCGGCCCTCTGCGACGGTCGGCGGCAGTGTCCGCATGGCGAGGACGAGATGGGCTGCGACGGCAGCCTGAGGGGCGGCAACGCCTGTCCGGAGCACACCTTCCGCTGCGGCAGCGGCGAGTGCCTGCCGGAGTACGAGTACTGCAATGCTATCGTGTCCTGCAAGGACGGCAGCGACGAGCCGCCGCACCTCTGCGGCTCCCGCGCCGTTCCCAATCTCTTCATGCGCCTCATCGAGGCGGGCGGCCTGCTCGGCGGTGGGCGGCGGGAGGCGGACGCCTACTGCCCGCACCGCTGCAGCAACGGCCTCTGCCGCTCCACCGCCATCGTCTGCTCCGGACGGGATGGCTGCGGCGACGGAACCGATGAACAAACCTGCGCCGTGTGCCGTAAGTATTTAGCAAAGAAAGGAAGATCTACTATCAAAAATCTAACCAACACTTTTTGATTTTAATATGATTTTTAAAAGATTTTTTTTTAATTTTCAAATATAAATCTTTCTTCCGAGCATAATAAAAAATATAGGTAAATTAAAAACGCCAGGATACATTAGATAGCACATGTATTCAATTTAAACAATGCTGTTTTGATTTTTATTTGACTCCATTTTCCAAATTTCAACTATAAATCTTTGCTTCCAAGCATAGTAAAAATATAGATAAATTAAAAAAGTCAGGATATATTAATAAAATCATTACAAAAACGTTTGGACTGGCCATAGAACATGTATTTAGTATACGCAATGCTGTTCTGATTGTTACTAGACTTTAATCGGTTTTTTCCAATTATCAGTATAAAATCTTTGATTTCCAAGCAATAAAAAATATAGATAAATTTAAAAATTGCAGGATACACTTATGAAATCATATTAAAAATACGACTTGATTTGCCATGAAATATGTGCTCCTAGTATAAATAGCCTTTACTATCTTATTGTTAAACAAATTACTAATAAGTTCCGCATTTATCACCTTTCAGGTTGTCCCGCCCCGACTGCTGCCAGCCTGCCCGCCTTCTTGGCCCGGCAACGCCCAATGCCACTGTGGTAGGAACCTGCAACACCTAAACCACCCAAGAGAAACCCACTTCCGGTCACCATTTATCACTCTGCCTTTCGACCCCCCAAAGTCTATCGCTATACCCAACCGCATTCGAAACGATTTTTGCCTAGCATTTAAGTGGATATTTAAAAAAACTTTATTTATTTATTTATTATGACCTTAGCTGCGCCCATGCCACGCCCAATTGCCACCTTGCTATCAAAGGGGGTTCAGTGCCCCCTTTGAGCCAGTGATGTTTGTCAATTGTGCCACTGGGCGCAACCCTAAACCACATATAACACCACAAATTACACCACACACCATCGCCCCCATTTCGACTATTTATTCTACTCATCCTGACCATCAAAACTATTTATTTATACCCTTACACACCCCTCACCCACAAACAAAAAGACACTCGAAGAGAATACTTCATGTAGCTTAGTTTTATGCAATTTTCTAATTTATTTAAACTATTGGCCAGGCAAACCAGTAACGGAAAAGATAACGAAAACCATGAAATGATGCATTTTTATCGATAAATATTTTGTAAATAAGAGTAAACGTGTTCGATGTACATGATAAACGACAATGCCTATAAAGAAACGTAGGGTATCCAGCATAACACAATCAGATCATATCCCCTATATAGTTTATTATATGTACGTGCGTGTGAGAGGCACTCACACACTTTTCTCAAAGTCAAGACGCATCACAGTAAAGCTAAAAAAAATGAAATGACAATAAAAAATATATTTTTAGAAAACTATTGAAAAAATAATAAATGTTGTATTTATTGTAGGGGGTTCCTTTTGACATGGGAATGGAGAATGTATAACTTTGGTGTAAATTCAATTCAATTTGAAATGGTGTTTAAGATATGGATAGGATAATAATAGGATAGGATATAATAGGATAAATGGAATTCTACCTTATGGGACTTTTATTGCGAACATAATATATGTTCCCACCTTTTCTTTCTTCGTGTTGAGCAAAATTCAGTTTTCTTGTGGCAAAAAACAATAATTTTTCAATTTGAAGCTCACAAATAAACATATTTTTAAATATTATTATCATATTATTGCCATGACTTCAGTGAAATCGAACGGAAATACGTACTGGGATTAAGCCCCGCGATAATTGTGCATTGATTTAGGACAGCTCTTCGTAAGTAATCTCAGTCGCTTATCGCTATCAGAGTTTTACGACGGCTGCAGGTATAAAAGCCGCGCCGCAACTCCTCCAGAACAAGTTGTCTTTGCAACATGAAGGTGTTCCTAACTATTCTGGCTTTGTCCGTGGCCTCCGCCTCGGCGTACGAGAGCGTCATCCGCCCCAAGGACATTCCGAAGGTGAAGCAGATCGAGGGTCGCATCACCAACGGCTATCCGGCGGAGGAGGGCAAGGCTCCCTACACGGTGGGTCTGGGCTTCAACGGCGGCTGGTGGTGCGGTGGCTCGATCATCGGCAACACCTGGGTCCTCACCGCCGAGCACTGCATCGGAGGCGATGGCGTGACTGTCTACTTCGGAGCCACCTGGCGCACCAACGCCCAGTTCACCCACTGGGTTGGCAGCGGCGACTTCATCACCCACGGATCCGCTGACATCGCCCTGATCCGCATCCCGCACGTGGACTTCTGGCACATGGTCAACAAGGTGGAGCTGCCCAGCTACAACGATCGGTACAACGACTACAACGAGTGGTGGGCTGTGGCCTGCGGCTGGGGAGGCACCTACGACGGCAGCCCCCTGCCCGACTACATGCAGTGCGCCGACCTCCAGATCATCCACAACAGCGAGTGCGCCGGCTACTACGGAACCGGCACCGTCGGAGACAACATCATCTGCGTCCGCGTCGTCGACGGCAAGGGAACCTGCGGCGGAGACTCCGGCGGCCCTCTGGTCAGCCACGACGGCTCCAAGCTCGTGGGAGTCACCAACTGGGTGTCGGGTGCTGGCTGCCAGGCTGGTCATCCCGCTGGCTTCCAGCGCGTGACCTACCATCTGGACTGGATCCGCGACCACACCGGAATCGCCTACTACTAAACTTTGAAAACCTATTAAATAAATTCACTTGAAGAGCAAATTTTAAATATGGTTTAAAATTTCTGCAGAATGAAGAATTCTGATTATTGCTATAATTTTCGATAGGAAAATGTGTAGGACCTCAAACCCAGTAATACTTTCGACTTGACTATTGGCGTTTAATATAATTTTTAAATAGGTCTCAATTCCGCTGACATGAAATTATAATTTACTGTGTAATATAGGACCAGAAAAGTAGAAAAGTGCAAAGTATCTACTCATTTTTATATTTATACGGGTGATCGTTAAATTTTTTTATTAATTTTATCAAGGTATCATATTGTGTTGGGGCACTAAGAGTATTAAATTCCATGGGAAAGAAGTTATGTTCAGCCAGTGCATAATCTAGAACTTTGAATTTGTTGAACTGTTTTAACAATTTAATAATGCTAAATTTAAAAAAAAAATTTACTAATTTGTTTTAATAAAAATCTGACATTAATAAAATTTTTTTAGTAAATCCATATGCATCATATTTAATTTTAATATTTTTTGCAATGATTTTTATCCAACGCAATAAACTTGGACTAATTTTAAGTATGGCGATGTTAACTTCAACAATTATGGGTAATTTAAATATTTTAAACAAGTCTTTTAATACGTTATTATTTTTGTAGAGAAATAACGGCTAACATAATATTAAACAAATATATTTAAATAAAATTAAAACTCATTTCCTGTTACCTTTCTTCCCGAGAACCCTATGGCAAATACAGCCCGCATTAAAACAAAATACAAAATCTTCAGAAATATCTTTTGCAATAATAGGTATTTATTTCGTTTAGTAGTAGGCAATGCCAGTGTGGTCGCGGATCCAGTCCAGGTGGTAGGTGACGCGCTGGAATCCAGCAGGAGCACCCGACTGGCAGCCGGCGGAGGAACCGAAGTTGGTGACTCCCACGAGCTTGGTGCCGTCATGGGTGACCAGAGGGCCGCCGGAATCTCCGCCGCAGGTGGACTTGCCGTCGGGGGTCCTCACGCAGAGGATGTTGTCTCCGACGGTGCCGCTTCCGTAGGTGCGGACGCACTCGCTGTTGTGCATGATCTGCAGATCCACGCACTGCATGTAGTCGGGCAGGGGGCTGCCGTCGTAGGTGCCTCCCCAGCCGCAGGCCACCGCCCACCACTCGTTGTAGTCGTTGTAGCGATCGTTGTAGCTGGGCAGCTCCACCTTGTTGACCATGTGCCAGAAGTCCACGTGGGGGATGCGGATCAGGGCGATGTCAGCGGAGCCGTGGGTGATGAAGTCGCCGTTGCCGACGGTGTGGGTGAACTGGGCATTGGTGCGCCAGGTGGCTCCGTAGTAGACGGTCACGGAGGCGGCATCCCCGATGCAGTGCTCGGCGGTCAGGACCCAGGTGTTGCCGATGATCGAGCCACCGCACCACCAGCCGCCGCTGAAGCCCAGACCCACCGTGTAGGGAGCCTTGCCCTCCTCCGCCGGATAGCCGTTGGTGATGCGACCCTGCATGTCCTTGGTGTGGACTGCAGTCGCCTTCTGGATGGCGGCGCCGGAGGCCGAGGCCACGGCCAAAGCGAGGATAGCTACGAGCACTTTCATGTTGCCAAAACAACTTGTGGATCGGTGCCTGTCGGTGGCGTATTTATACCTGAATCATATTCGCCGAGCTGGGTCATATAAATATAATCACCGTCTAAACAATCTGCCGATAAAGTATATTAGTAATAAATAGGCCAAGTCCGAATGGAGATTGAATAAGCCAGTAAAAGGTAATGAGTGGTGACTTCCGATGTATTCAATGGAAGCCTATAAGATAGCAAAGTCAATTGTAACTACAATTCTTAATAAACCATATTAAAATGAATTAGTTCATTTCTATCAATTATGCGTTCAAGATACCTAAAATCATATTTCTGAGAAAAAGGTAAACCTAATTTGGATAGGTACTGATCTTCAAAAATTTAAATTTGATCCTTAAAATTTAATTTAGATGTAACCATAAAATAATAAATAATAAAATAACAAACAAGTTATAAGCAAAAAACAAACCTAAATGATATTTTAAAATTTACGACTTCTCTTTACAGTTATCTCTCCATTCAAAAACAATCCACAATCAGGAATTGATTAGATTTAAATATTTACAATGCCATACGGATGTGCATACAGTATACGAACAAAGTGCAAATCGCCGCTTTTTATGATACCTGTAAATATTCGGGAAACAACAGAAGCCTCCGACCTCAAAGAACTTTCGTTAACTTAAACGATTGCAATTATTAAAGATAAGATATACTATTAGTAATTTGACTGTTCCTTTTTTGTTTTGATTATTTTAAAGATTGGCAGTTCAATTTGTGGTTTGTTGATAATGGTTCAAGTGATTTAATTATATCTCTAGAAAAATGTTTTTAAAGAGATGAGTATTAGTTACGATTGTAAATATAAATTTTACATTGAATGTTTTATAAAATTAAATTTAGTCAGTTTGCCTTTTGTTGTTTGGAAAATCTAATTAAGAAAATTTAGAACAAAAATAATCCAAATGGTTGGCCCTATTATAATTATAATTATAATTAAAAACGGATAATTAATTATTTATTAAATCTTATAATCGCGCATCCCAAATTCAAAATTCATTGTGATGAGCCATTTTCATAATGAATAATATTGTATCATGATGGGCCCACCTGCTTATCAGCTGGTGGATTTTTTCGTAGTATATCGTATTTTTGGTGTGTGTTGTGATCTCTTATCCTCCGCTTTCAAGTTCCCGAGAATTTTTTAATGTTTTTGGAGGTGTTTTATCATGTTAATTTAAAAATCATCCTTAAATGTTAGTGAAGTGCAGTACTCATTATAATAATAAATAATATGGTAAAATGTATTCAATTAAAAAAAATACGTGTGTGAAAAAATGTATTATATAAAAAGGCATAATCTGTGATTATAATCTGTGTATCATTGCTTTGTTTACTTTTCTATTTTCTTTGCCACTGTGAGTTTGGTGACCTTGCCTGCGGCTAAACAGAGACACTTGGCGAATTCTCCGCAATCACCGCCCTTAAATTATTCGCCAGGAACCAACAAGTGGGTGGTGAAAAAGGGGAAGGGACCGGGCGAAGCAAAATAAAAGGGAGAGCGTGCAAAATACCGACGCAGCACGTGCCAAAAGTAACTTCGAAGTGCGCAGACGCAGAGAGTGGGTGTGCATCGGGCAATTGGCAAATAAACATTGCATACTTTCAGGGGAGCAAAAAATAAGAAATAAAATAAAAGAGAAACAACACGTGCTGGTGCAACGCATCGCGTGTAGTCAATGCACTTAGAAAAACTAGTATAATGCTTGACCGTAAATGACAAAATATGACAAAGTATAAAAATATGAAACTTTGGGGGCCAAACCGTTTTCAGGCATGACATGACATCACTCAAAAATAGATCGATATTTAGGCTGTATCGTTATCATTTAAATGCTTATCGGGTGTGCCAGCAACATACATAGATACACAAATATTTCCGATTATGGGAATCAAAAAGTTTGACAAACATTTTTATAATTTTGAAAATAAAAAATGATTTTTAACTGAAAGAAATAGAAAATAGAAAAATAGAAAAAGCCGTGACATTTATAGCATTCTTTAAAAATGACTCCGTCAATTAAAATGCACCTATCTACAAACGTGTTTGCGTTATGTGAGCTATATTCAAGTTTATTCGGCTTTCAATTTTGAAAACGTTAACTAACCCCTTAAGTGAAAACTTATACTTATGAAGTTAACAAATTAATTAAGCTTACATTTCTTGAAACCTTCTTTTAGTTCTTTAACTGACATTTTTTACATCAACGACAAGGGCGCTCGGTAACTACGATGATGGCTTTGTTACTATCTCTCTTCTAATCTTTGGTACAAGTTCCTTGAAGCTCTTTCGATTCTAAGAACAAATGCTGTAGATTATATTCTTATCATAAAGGCTCATGGTCTTTTTTTATGTTTCTTCTTAATTGAGTGGAAACCACTTGACTTCAAATCAAAGGTTGATAAATAAAATATATTTAATAAAAGAACATTTAAAGCTTTGCCATCGACTAATGGATCCTCTATTCACATTTACTTTAAATAATATTATATGTTGCCTACCTATAAATTAATAACTTAGGGCTTTGAACTCTGAATTTCCACACGTATTTAAGGTTATATCCGTATTTTAAATTTAACATCCGGACGAGAAATCGACCCTAAATGTGGTAACTTTAAAAAAAAATCAACTGATTTTATGCTATAATACATAGTTATCTTAAGACATTAATTGAAATTAATTTTATTTATATGTAAAGGAATCTATTTGATAATAATAGATATTGTCACTTAATATTAAAGAGTATTGGAGTTCAAGTGGTCTATTTTTAATCTAAAAGGCTTTGATTTTTTTTTCAGTGAACAGATTGCTGTTACTAGTGTTGCGCGATGTTGTTGCTGCCCCCCAACGAGGGTGTAAAAAATCTCACATCGGCACTGGCTCGTCGTCATTCGTCGGAGGTCTCCGCTCGCTGGCAGTCGAACATCCGCTCAGTCGCATCGTATTATCCGGTCCGCCAGCAAGGACCTGGTCTATAATCGCGCATCGTTTCCCTTTTCGAGGAGCCACTGCAAATCGCACTACAAATATTTGTATATTTGCTGCAATCAATAGGGATGTACATATGGCGATGAGACCAAGTGAGTGTGCGGATATGAGAGTGGCCCAAATACTGGATGAATCCTGGGTGTTGACAAATTTCCAGGCTGTTCGCAAAAGTTCGCAGTTTTCGCTATTGAGTGTGTGTGTGTATCCGTGTGCGTCCTTTTTGTATCTGTGTATCTGGCTTTTGTATCTGTATCTGTCGGATGTATCGGTGTGCTCGACAAAACGATTGCAATTTTACGCTGACGCTGCAACAGAAGCAGTTCGCTTCAATGGAACTTGACATAGTATACCAACGCCTCCCCCCAAACCCCTTTGGGATACTCACATATAAACATAAGTATTCACACGTGTGAGTGTGTGTTATTTTTACCACCGCAGAGTGTCCTCGACACACTCACACATTCGCATGGGGTCCTGCAACGGATCCCCTAGCACGTCACTCGCCCTTCACCCCATTCTCTCAACTATATTGCCATTATTATATATTTTCTATAGTATCGCCTCTTTAATGGCTCCCCCAAGTGCATTTGCCATTAAAATTCAATGCACTATCTAGATGCACGGCTATTCATGCAAAGCCACGCCAAAGTGTTGTCGCTTTTTATTGCCAGACTTTGTTAGTCCCTCGCTAATTTATTTAAACACTATGGAACCATTCAATTCGAACTGCAAATTCAATTAGATAAAAACTGTTAAATGCAACAACGCCTCTCGTTCATAAATGTCGTAAGCTGGGGCATAATTGAAATTTAATATCTCTGCTACACATATAGGGAATGCAATCTAAATGCAAATTTTTGTATAGTATATAATGTAAAACATTTCTGTTACTTAAATAGTTTTCATATACTTCTTTCTGCTTCTTTATCGCCCTTCCTGTTTATGAACTATACAAATTCGTTTTGTAGTTATCTCGGTTTGAAATAGGGGCAAAGCTGAGACTATCCACATTCCCGCATAACTCGAGAACCAGAAGCAAACTCTGTCGTCTATCATGTTTAGAACATACATATTTTTGTATTTTATGTATGTTTTGAGCTTGATTTAAAAATTTTTATATAAATAGACTCAGCATTTATTTACTTACTAAAAGCTCTTTAGCTGATTAAAAATATATTCAAGAAAAATTTTAATGTTTAATCAATATTTTATTAAAGAAATGATATTCCATAAAGCTAGTCTACCTCTTTTCTCCCCACTACTGGGTATGAACATCATCGTATAATTATTTGTATACATCTATAAAAACGTGTCATGAATTAACACAACCAAATATCTAATCAATGTTTGTTACATCAAACTGCAAAAAGTGAAAACTAATGACCGTCGGATAGAGTCGTGATCGATGAAATATTGCCGACAAAGCACGGATCCATCATGAGGCATCAGCAGCTCTGTTTCCCCACTCAGATTCCCAGACCCCCATACCATCACCATACCTATTTCGGTGCTTGGGTTCCGTCTCATTCGCGATTCTGCCCTCAGAGTGCTCGGACCGCTGACGAAAAGCCAAGCAGAACTGTGTACTTTTAGCAGACGTTGCATTTCCATTAATTAAATTCGCAAACCGCCCCTGGCCGACCCCTCTTCATTGGACCCAGCCAAGGTTGGCCAAATAAAATGTTATTTATATTCCTCTTGGCTAAGAAACACTATTGGCAGTGACACAAACATCCAAGACCAATAATGAAAAATAGTGCGCTTTAAATAGGAAAATAATATGCTGGTGCAATGAACAAACGATTGTTGACCCGAGAAAACCACGTGTAATCCCCCGAATAGTATACAAAATCAAGCAAATATAAACAGTGATGAAAATGTGCAAAACAAATAATCGAAACGTAATCCACTAATGTCAGTGAGATCTAAACATTTTATTATATTATGCAAATCTATAAACCCTAAGTGCGAAACAATCATAAAAATGCATTTAAAATCAACTCGAGCAACCCAAAAGGCGTAAAAAAAATTAACAAAACAAAAAGGTGTTCTAAAAATCTGACGAATAATAAGTTAGCAAATTATTTCTAAAATGCTTAGTTCCTGACATTGCCTATTATAATCTCATCAGGCTTATCACAGTCGGTTTCGCAAGCTTAGAAGTGTTTTTAATTTATTCATTGTTTACAAAGAAATAAACGAATAGCGACACTGAAAACTGACCTTTGTAATAAGAAAATTGCTTCTAAAGCCAAAAAAAAACGTACTTTGTATCTGTCAGCGATTTATAACCTGTACATCTGTATGTCTTTAATTTCAGTTACAAAATAAACAATAAAACACCAATAAATCAAAAATTACCAAGCATTCTACAGGTAAGTCAATTTCTCTTTTTCGAACCACATTTAATGTGTAATTAAGTAAATAAAAACCAAGCATGTTTAGCTTTTGGAAATTTGCATTTTTGTGTGACTTGCGTTCTCTATTATTCCACATTATCTTTTAATTAGTTCAGTAGCTTAATTAGCTAAACCTTTTTGCGCAAGTGGACGAAATGGCACTAGAGCGACAATTATTATTTATCACTCAATTGGTTTTAAAGGCCAGACAAAATGTTTTGAGACCCTTAAAATTTTCGAAATTTTAATGAACAACTGTACTGTATTTAATAAAACTAAAAAAAATCCGAAATATTTCTAACATATAATAAAAATAATTAAAAATGCATAAAGAATATATTCATATAAGCAACCTTTTCAAAATGTGTTCAGTACATAAGACAATAAATGATAGGATAGGAATAATAAGAGTTTGTAATTTAATATTTTATTTACATTTTAATTTTGTTTGCCTTAAATTTTCAGTTCTGCTTTAAAAAACAGTTGGATTGATTTGGATTAACTGAGAACCTCTTCATTTAACTTGTGAACATGAATAGCCGCGAGCTTAAATGACATGGCAGAGAAACGCCTTCTGCTGGAGCGATCCGACACCCCAGAGACGGAGGAGCTGGAAGTACAAATGACCCGAAGGAAAGAGGGAGGAGTGCTCCATGCCATCCAGCACCGTTCGCTTCCGGTGAGCCGGAAGTCGGTGCTCGGACTGCTGGTGTCCTTTGTGTTCTGCTACTTCCTGATCGGAAGACCCGAGTGGGCGAATGTCCTGGATCTGGACGTCCTGCACTCGGATAACTACGTGACCGTGCAGCATCAGTCCACTTTGATGGATGGTGAGTACATATATAGGACTAGAAGCATGATCCCCAGTTTTCTGTTTCGTATTTTATGCATGCGATTATGATTTTTTCCCTGTGTTCTTTTCTCCCCTTATGTTTGCACCTTTGTGATTGATTGCCCAGTAGAAACTGAAAGTATTCCTACTGAAAGTATTCCATTTGTGCCGAAAGGCTTTCTGGTGTATAGCAATTCCTGCCGCATTATGGAGGTGGATCCCTACAAGAACGAGGTGATGCGCCACTTCAAGAGAATTAAATACAAGGCATGTCAGAAGCTACCGCCTTTGACGCAGGTCAGGTTCCAGGAGAAGTCCCAGAAATACCTCCTCAGCATTGACGGAGCCGCCTTTAGTCGCTACCGAGTGGGCGGCCAGCTCCACTGCTGCTACATGGAAGTGCAGCGGGTCAGCGAGATGAAGGTCAAGTACACCAAGTGTCAGGGTTTCAAAGGGAGCACCGAGCTGCCCAACTCCGCCGAGGGCATCATAGTCAAGTGCGATTCCGGTGGTCACCAAATCTATATCAATGGCCATGCCACCATTCCCGTCAAGGATGCAGTGCAGCAGAGGCTGCAAAAGGCCTCTGAAGGAGATTCAAAGGAAAAGGATAAGGATAGAAGCAATCCAAGACCACCTAGCGTCCTAATGCTCGGCATCGATAGTATCTCCCGTGTGAATCTCATCAGGGCCATGCCCAAAACGGCACAGTATCTCTACGACAATGGGTGGTTCGAGCTGGCGGGATATAATAAGGTGAGATAGGGTCCCTTAGAAAAAACATTATGATACATATTTCTAAGAAATATATTTAGTAATCAAATTGTAAGTTTACAGAATCTATTAGAAACAGTTTTGAAATATAGCTTACATTTAGATTTGAAAAAGATGTTACCTTTAAATTAAGAAAATGTTTACTAAAAAATATAATAAGGTGAGATGGAGCCCTTTAGAAGAAACATTCTGATATATTAGATCTATGAAATATATTTAGTAATTAAATTGTTGGTTTAAAAAATCTATTAGAAACAGTTTGGAAATAAAGATTTGAGAGAGATTTTACCTTTAAATTAAGAAAATGTTTACCAAAAAATTATAAGAACATTTTAAAAAGATTTAACATTTCTGTCAAGAGAAATTTTGAACTATTACCGGATTAGCTTAAATTAAGATTTGAGAAAGATTTTACCTTTAAATTAAGAAAATGTTTACCAAAAAATTATAAGAACATTTTAAAAAGATTTAACATTTCTGTCAAGAGAAATTTTGAATGATTACCGGAAAGTCATAAGAAAATATCATATTGCACCCTTCAAAATAAGTGTTCATACTTTCTCAGTGAGTACCAATAATATAGGTCCTATACATATATTAATTGTTCCAAGTCTTAAACTAATACTTTCATCAAAATTATGCCTATTTAATAATGGTAATTCCTTAACACAGTGATATTTCAATATGTTTTTAACCCATTCTCAATTTATCTTCCTTCTCCCCAGGTGGACGACAACACATTCCCGAACATCATGGCCGTGGCCACCGGCTACAACCTGCCCAATGCCATGCATGCCTGCTCGCCCTTCGTGGTTGGTGGCCTGGACAAGTGCAACTACATCTGGAAGCTGTACCAGCAGAGGGGCTACGTGACCGCCTACGCAGAGGATGCTGTGAAGATCAACACGTTCAACTATCTGAAGAAGGGCTTCAAGGATCCGCCGGCGGATTACTATTTGCGTCCCTATCTCGCCGCCGCCGAATCGCAACTCGATCACACGACTGTGAATGGTCTGGTGCACTGCCTCGGCTACGAAACGGCAGCGGAGCACGTCTACGACTATGGGTTGGAGTTCACCAGGAGGTTCCTCAACGAGTCCTACTTTGGTTTCTTCTGGACGAACACGCACAGCCACAGTGATATTTCGCAGACGAGCAGCATGGACGACTATATGGCGGAGTATCTGAGGAAACTGGTGCTCCAGGGCACCATGGACAACAGTGTGGTGGTGTTCTTCAGCGATCATGGCATGCGCTTTGGACCCACGAGGGCCACCTGGTCGGGTCACCTGGAGGAGCGTTTGCCGGCGATTTTCATCTGGTTACCTCATCACCTGCGTCGCTCGCATCCCGAGTTTGTGCATGGCCTCCAGTTGAACCGGAATCGCTTGACCACGCCCTATGACCTCCACCTGACCATGAAGCACATACTCTCCATATCCGGAAGAGTCGATTCCGATATGGAATCCCTGGGACCAGCACCCGATTGTCCACGGTGCCAGAGTTTACTCCATCCCGTTTCCCCTTTGAGGAGCTGCTCCGACGTGGGCATCGCGGATCACTGGTGCACCTGCTGGGAATATGACTCCATCTCGAGCAGCTCCAAGGAAGCCCGCATGCTGGGCAAGCGTGTGGTCAGCTACCTCAATGACTATGTGGCAGAGTTTCGAAACGGAACCTTTGCCAAGCTATGTGCTCCGCTCTCCCTGCACAGCATCAAATCCGCTTTCCGGGCGCATCAAAATGCCCTGGATCCCGAGGAGGTGCACACCTATCGACTGATCTTCGTTACGTCGCCCAATAAGGCCCAGTATGAGGCCACCTTGCGACATAACCACACAGATGATTCCGTAAAGGTGACCGGTTCCGTGAGTAGATTAAATGTCTACAGCGGAGAGGCGGACTGCATGAGTGATTTCGCTGCCAAAAAGTATTGTTATTGCCGGAAAAAGAAGGGTTAGGTGCAGTAGGATTAGAACTAAGGCTAGTGCCCAAGTGCCGTTAATCAGATTAGAATCTAGGATAGAAATATATTATAGAAATCTCTCTTCTCTCTGCCCGAAAGTATGTGGAGTACGTGTAAAACTTCTGAAGCTTTTAAAATAATATTTAGAGTATCTGAACGTTAAAAAGAATTATCTCTAGATTTGAAAATATATTGAAGCGTATTCGTACTGGTTTGCGAATATTCCTGCCACAAGTATTACAAGTTCCATCAAATACTAATCGATGCCTTAACAAATATTTCAAAATCTTCAGAAGTTTGAGCAGCTAAAACTACTGAAGCTTTAAAAATAATATTTAGAGTATCTGAACATTAAAAAGAATTATCTCTAGATTTAAAAATATATAGAAGGAAGTATTACAATTTCCATCGAATACTAATTGATGCTTTAAAAATTATTTCAAAATCTTCAGAAGTTTGAGCAGCTCCCTTGTATATTCCTATAATAGGCTTAGTTTGTTACCCTTGTAAATAATTTACTCTCCCTGCTCCAAGAGACTTTTGCCAAGAATTAGTTTAGACATCTGTTTATACATAGTTAGCTGCTAAAATACTAATTGTTACACTTATAATTTGATATATTTGTTTAACTCATAGTGATATCATGAATTCAAGTAAAATCTGTGTTAAAAAAAAAGTGAAGCGTCTTTTCAATTTGGCATTGAAATCTAAAAGTAAGTATATACATCAAAGAGATTACATTCGGTAATGTAGTCAGTTTAAGTCAGATTTCGAGCAAAACTCCCAGGTGCTGGCCTTCTCCTTGAAGCTATAGTTGCCCAGCAGATTCTTAAAGGCCTTGAAAAGCTTGGTGAGCGGACTATTGCGCTGCAGACCGAGTAGATCTCCAGGCAGTGGCTGCACATCCAATCGCAGCTCCTTGTAATCCTCGCTAGCCAGCAACGAGAAATAGCCCCTCAAATTGACCGCATACTGGGGATTGCCTATTCTATTCTTCGAAAACTCGATCGTCTGCTGCAACTGGTGGGCAAAGAAGGATTGACCCGCGCCGCGCTGAAAGGAGCGTCCTGTCCAAGTGTCGTACGAGATGCTGATGAGCCATTTGTAGTATCCCGGCTCCTCCGATTCCTTCAGTTCGATATTCAAGGCGTAGAGCTGCGTGAGCACATCCTTGATGGTGTCCACATAGCAGGCCAACCAGTAGTAGTAGATGGGTCGCACCTCCTCCGTTTTATTGCGGCTCAGCAGGCCGGAGCGCAAGCATTTGAGATCATTTGTGGTGGGCGTAATTACATGCGATCGCACGATGGGAGGGGCGTTAAAAACGCCGACTGTTTCGAGCTTGGTTGTCTCAGTCTCAGCAATTTGCTGTTGCGGCTGAATAATTTCCATTTTTTGCTGCTTTCTTGGAGTGGCTCTTTCCGCTTTTCTATCGGCCACTAACCTTTCAGAAACCAACTTATCCGCCAAGCCAAATAATAGGTAGTCATATAACTTATCCGGTTGCGAAGTTAGTTCCTCATTGCTGCAGCCTTGAGCTGCCAGGACAAGACATTGTCTGAGGTAACATAGATTCGAGGCAGACACCGACTTGGCCACGTTGTGCTGCAATTCGAAGGGATCCTGTACGCACATGGCCCGCTCCAGTTGAAAAGCCTCCGGCGGCTCACCGACTGCATCGTGCATGAGTCTTAGTTGCTCTTCATATTCGGGAAATCCACCCGGCGTGCCCAGTGTGGTCTGCTTGTCCAAACAGCTGCCCAAAAAGGGACTTAGAACGCTCTTTTCGAAGTTTACAGTGCTGTAGTACACGAAGAAATTTTTGATTAGCTCCTGAGTGGTGAGATGTGATGGAATCGGTGGCGTCAGTTCCAAACTATAGGCGTAGTTCACTCCCGATATATTGACCGGTGGACAGAGCGACTGGAGTTGCTTTACCGAGGGCAGCAGTCGATGCGCTTGCAAGTTGACAATGATCAGGGTAATCAGGCAATAGCTTGTCATGCAGCCATGACCAACCAGCTTCAGCTTCTTGGCCCAGATCTTCAGGAACAGGCAGAGCTCACGGAGTCGCTCGTCGCGGAACATCAAATCCCGCACAAATTGCGAGTTATATGTGCTATTCGGATTGGACATATTGATGTCTATATTCAGGCCGGTGAGCTGATGCTTGCAGCGAATGATGGGCACACGGGCATGTCGAATGTTGTAGATGTCCGTGAAGCATTTGGAGCGCCGTAGGAAGTAGGATACTTTATTGTACAGCTGCATGGCAGGCTGCTCACCGCAGGGCTGCATATACAAATCTATGTCGCTTTCTAAAAGGGAGAGGAAGCGGATTAGGTGCATTTCTCTGGCTGGTAAACACTAGAGCCCTGCTGTATGAATGGATTCAATGAATTATTTTGAATTTTTTGTTTTATATGAATCAATTAATTAGAATTTTGGGTTCAATAGAATTGAATGAATTTGAATTTTGAGTTCCAAAATAATTTAACGACAATTTCTTTTGAAGAAGAAAGGGCCATAATTTTGTTATGAAATCTGCCCGATTTTTATTTATTAAGCAGTTAAAATTGATTTGTTAAAAATTTTCCACTTTTTGTTCTTAAAAGAAAGCATAAAAAAATCTGAAAAATACAAGGAAAAATATTTTGAAATTTTTTTTTGCAGTGATTATTAATTTTGATTGGGGAAAAACATTTTTGATTTAAGCCCCAGGAAAAAAGATGAAAATTTGACCTTCACAATAAATTTTATAATTTTCTAACTTTTCAAAGGGTGCTTAATGGGTTAAGAACATTGTTGTGTCATTTAAACAGAATTGAAGTGTTCTTTCATGAGAAGATTTAACTTTAAAATTTGTCAAAATAATTATGCCGACTAGTGAATGATAAAACAAAAATTGAATGATTCACGCAGGGCTCTAGTAACCACATACCTTTCAAGGCCAAACCGGTGACCAGAGAACCGAAGGGAAACACCCTAACCCTTCCCCGCATTTCCTTCTCAATGCAGTTGCGAACGTGACCGAAGCAGGTCTCCATCTTGTTCAGATCACTAGCGAAGAAATGCAAAACCGTGCGCAGGTGACCGCCGGGCTCCGACTTCTCGAGAGCCTCGCGCAGCTCGTTGCGCTCGGATTGGGTTTGTGCGCTGGTGAAGAGCTTGGTAATGGCGTTCAGTCGCTGGCGCAGCTGCTTCTGCGGCGGCTTGCTGGCATGCTTCAGCAGCTCGTGGGCGAGGCAATCCTGCATGCTCTGGAAGGGGGCGGCGCAGACCATGCAGAGCACTACATTATCGGTTCCTTCCCCGGGTGGAGGCGAATCTTCCGAGGCGGGGGCCGGCATTTCTGCAAGAAAAAACACGTTTTAATTGAGTGCTTATTTTGCCAGCAGGGTTTATTCAATAACAATGATCAGTAGGTTAAAGCCTGCCCCGTTTTCCTGTCCACCACTTTTAGGAAATAGGATTTGGGTATAGAGCCATTGATTCCTGGACAGAGAAGTACATTATTGCTGGATCGGTAGATGGGTATCTCATCCGAAAGAACCTTCTCCACATTAAGATATATCAAAATCTGGCAATCGCTGCGGAATCCACTCAAGATGCAGTTGGTCCTATCGCTGCTGGCAAAGTGCACGTGGTTGCGGCTCATCCTGCTTAGTCCTTGCAACCTTATTGCCTCCCAGTGACGGTAATAAGTGCCATGTACCGCCAGGGGAATCTGTTCCACGCGGGTAATCCTCTCCAGGCCGCCAGCTTCGCTTTCGACAACCGCCAACGAGTGACCCTGATTGGCGCGAATCTCGTGGTCACCGCGCTCGGGATTCCAGCGAAGAGTGTATCGCTGCTTGGAGTCCGCAGAGGCAATCTCCTGTAGCTTCTCCAGGGTAAAGGATCTGTATCGCGGGTGCTCCTGCAACTCGGTGACACCAACGAAGCCATCTGATCCGATGGAAATCCCCTCGGTTTTTGCACCGTGCCGCAGCAACCAGGAGAGCTTCTTGCTCAGCTGCACATCCAGCTGCTGTTTGGGGGGCATTATTTGCGAATTAAACTTACTTTTATTTTCACAACAATTTGGTTGGATATCAAAACACAGAGATGAAAAACTATCAATATCGATAGTAGCGACCCACGCATTATCGATGGCTTCAGAACCTTCACGATAGTATCGCTATTATGTACCCACCACTGCCACAAGCGCAATTTTTTTTAAATTTTCGAATTATATCTTATCATTAATTTGAAAGAGTATTAAAAATACGAGCTATTCTTGCTCTAAACTGATGAACCCTTCAGAGTTTTTAGACTAGCGCATTACTTTTTGAAATAAATCCAAATCGTAAAAAATCAGGCAAATCTAAGCATGAGCCTAAACTTAATCGTAATTTAAAACCAATAACCTCTTTTGTCACATAAATAAATTTATTATTATTATTGTTAAACTAAACATTGTAAACATGTTTCTGATTAAACAATATTGCTCAAAACAAAAAAAGACGATATAGTCGAGTTCCTCGACTATCAGATACCCGTTACATTGTTAACTAATTTAAAATTAATAAAATAAAGAGAGCGTGGCAAACTTTTTTCTTCTACCTGTTTAATACTCAGCAAGTAATGGGTATATTTCATAAATATTTGTATAAATTATTACACAGTACAAATAAATATAGGTACATAATACAAGCTTACAGAGAATATAATGACTTTAAATACATACTTTGGGAATAGCGTTGGCATAATCGAAAAAAGCTTATAAATATGCATAAATACAACAAGTCGGAAAGTCCGTAAGTATATAGGAATGCTCAAATTTGGAAATCAAGATCTTTATATGTATCCCTCGACTGATACATTTTGCCACTGGCCCTGGAATTAAAAAGGAGTTAAACCCCAACAAGTAAATAAAAAAGGTTAACTTACAGCAATGCCAAGGTTCCATCCAACTCCAGCTGGATTTTCCTTTGTAATCCCGCACCGCCTGCAGATAATGCCATTGAGGGAAATGGCCCACACCTCGGAACCCACGGACACCGAACGGAAGCCACAATGCTGCTCCGTATGGGGCGGCACATTGGCGGCATTGGGCAGAAACTGCCAGTGAGAACCTTCGGGGAAGGTTCTTGAGATCTCCTTGCGCACAGCCAAACGCTGCTGGTTGTCCAGCGCCCAAATGCCGGCGCGACCCACGCTTATCGCCTTGAAGGTCACGCCCGCCGGAGCCTCCACCTGCTGCCAGGCATCGCCGCAGGGATTCTGCTTGCTGATTCCGTACCGGAAGAACACCATGCCGTTGCGGGCCACAGTCCAAACCTGACCCGCGGGGCCAACGCTAATCCCGACCAGCGGCTGGTCACTGGTGATGTGCTCCCAGGCGTCGCCACGTGGATTTAGGCTGCACACACCGTGCCGGATCAGGACATCGCCATTGGAGGCGATGGCCCAGGCGGCCACCGATGTGTTTCCCTCACCCGAGAGACTATCCACATCTTCGTCTAAGACCTGGGAATCGAAAGAGTTAGTATCAGGGGGTAAGTAATCCATCTAACTCATTGTAAATAATCAGGGCTTGGAAAATAACACACTCTGTAAAAAACGTGTGTTATTAACATGTTAAATGTCAAAGTGTTAAGTTCAAAAAAAGTTATTGACTTGTGTGTAAAAAAGTGTATCCTACATATGTTAGAAACATAAATAACACACACATGTCATTTGTGTTATTTACACGACATGTTTTTTACTCAGCGTGATTTTAACACAATCAGTTTTTGACATTAAAGTGTGAGAATTGTATGTTAAACTGAAAATTGCACGGTTTTCTAGAGTATACGAAATGTAACTTTCATTTGTGTTAAAAACACAGTGTGTAAAAAAAATTCGTGTTTATAACACATTGTGTAATAAGCACAAGTGAGCTGTATGTGTTAACAATTATTTTTCACATTGTAATACTTTTGTATTTGACACACATATCAACAATTTTGATCACACCGTAGAATACAATTTTTCATGTTTTTAACATGTGTGTTAATTTCCGAACCCTGATTACTATATAAGATGAATAGGTATATATTAAGACCAACCTGCAAGGCGGCATCGAGAATCTTAGACTGACTCAGCTCCTGCCAGGGACCGCTGCTGCTGAGGCGGCACCGCTTCATCCACCTGCGCCGGCGCACGCAGTCCGTGAGTTTCTTGTGGGCATGATAGTTGGCCGGAAAGTCGATGGCATATTGCCAGCCCTCCTTATCCGCGCCTCCCGGAATGTTGTAGTCAATGACCCAATCGGATATCCATTCGCAGTGCGTGGACAGCAGCTTAGTGTGCTCCTTGCTGCGCTTCTGCCTTCCGCTGGCATCGCTCCACATGTGCCGATCTGTCGGCAGACTTTTGGCAGTAAAGCCACTGATGGGATTCCATCGCTGGTTCTCGTAAACGTAGTAAGTGTGCGTGTCAATCATTGGGTTGATCTTGCCGGAGCCCTCGAGACCCTTAAGGAACATACCACCCCAGCCGCCGTTGTAAACCCAGCCAGTGTTGTCACACGAAATGCCCCATACAACGTCCGCACCGCTGTTGAAAATCCTCTTAATGTGGCCACCCATTTGGCGCCAGTGCATCCGCTCCAGGGAGACAATCAGTGAGGGGCATCGGTACAGCACATTGAAGAGCTTAATGCGACCGCTTACATAGAGCCTGGTCACGCTTTCCGGATCAATGCGGTACTTGTAGTCCGTATAAACGGCATTGTTCACTATCATCAAGTAATGGTCCTGCAGGGCCCTGAAATTGAGTATAAATATTAGATGCATTTCCTTGATATTTTGCTAAAATTCTTACTTAATTTTTAAAGTAAACGTAGCACCCGGAGCGAATGCCATTTTATCATTGCGTATTTCGTCCAGCCACTCGGACTCCTTCATCGAATTTAGCACGGTGGTGCGTTCGTTAAAGCGAGGATTCAGATGCAAGGCAATCACTCGATGCTTCTCCACGCGATGCGGCTGCACTTTGACTGTGGAATGCGACTGCAAGTCGAAGCGGATCTGATCAGCGTCATCGTACACACAGCCGGATATCTCTAGTTCAGTTCCGCAGGGCATTCTGTTAAGAAAAAATGTAATTAATTATATATTTAAATAGTTTTACTGGAATTTTTGGTTTATTATATAAATTAAAATATTAATAAAAAAACAGGAATATGAGTGATTCTTTGTGAAACGTATCGAGATTTTCTTCACGGTCTCTAAACCAATATCTAATTTTTATGAGGATTTTTAAAAAAGTTTTAAAAAAATGAATTTGACAGAAGCGAAGATATGGCGATGGTATTTTTTTTTGTTTGTTTTATTTATAATTTTAAATTACGTGGGGTAAGAAACAAATAAAAATACCCAAAAATTATTATATTTGCCAAGCTTTCAGATAAAAATAACACCCATAATGGTTCCAGTGCAAAATATAGTAGAAACTTCAAAAAAAATATTACTATATATAGAAAGCATCAATCACCCAATATTTTCGGGACATTTAAACAGTAGCCTTATAATTTACGTGTCACTTTTAAGAAATACTAGTTTTTAACAGTATTTTTGAAATCGCAGTTAATAGAAAAACACTGAGCCACTTATTTAGCCACAGGTATGTTACCAAACCCACTTACCCGTTGTAAAGAGTGTTATAATAGGGAGTTTCGCAAGTCGAAACGTCCATCTTCTCCAAATATCCCTGACCGGGTTCGGTTTTCTGTTGCGCCTTCATGTTGGCCGCATCGAAGACAAACACATCGCCCAGTTCGCTGGTCAGCCAGATGGCATTGCTGGCCGGTTTGCCGACCAGCGTGTTGATCTGGCTGCACACAGACGACAGGTGTGAGAGCCAATCCTCCATTTCCGAGTCGCTGGAGAACTGCAGCTTCACCGGCGAACAGTTGACAGGCAGGTGGGGCGCATGGATGGCGATCCGCGGAGCGCCTGCTTCACTGCAGCATTGCACACAGGTGATGTCCGACAGCGGAAATTGTATTTTCGTTGCTGCTCCATCCGGACTGAGCACCGTAAAAGTGCCCGAGTCGCCGGAACGCGTTCCGCTGCTCACCCACTCGAGTTCGATGATGCAATCCTCGAATTCCCCTCCAGGTCGCTGGTAACGAGCATCCGCCGACTTCACCCACGACGAGAGCTCCACAGCCTTCTCAAACTTGGCCACCGTCTGCAGCTTGGCCAGTTTCTCCTGGCGGCGCTGCAGTTTGCTCAGAATATCCTTCCGCCAATTGGCATTCACATCCACTTTGCTGTCGCTCGTCTGCTCGTTGAACCAATTGGGCATGTTGCTGGCGTCCACGGTCACCGCACCGGGAGCCACGCAGCTCCATAGTATACCGCATTCGGTCCAAAACTGTGAGCCCGTGTGGTCATCATCCTCGCCGAGGAAAACATCCGATCCGTGGTGCGTGGAGTCAGATTCAAAGACTGTAGAATCGCTTTCGGGATGCGCTTCGGTGCCCACAACTGAGCCAACACTTCGCACCGGCGACCAGGCCCTCGGATTCTTGAGCTGCGTCTCAAACTTCCCGGTAATCTCCACCACATCCGCCGCCGGAGCACTGGAGGCATGCGAAGTTTCTCGCAGTGCCGCAGTTCGATGCTTGTGGCGATCGTTTAGGTTTAAACTTCCAATTGTCGGTGGTGAATCGGCACTGAGTTTCCAACGTTCGTTCTTCAGGAGGCCCGGTGGACCTCCATTGCTGGAAAACGAGCCCGTGGAACTATTGGGCATGGTTTCTATGACAGCACACGTCTCGACGACGCCCTTTTCCTTCTCCTTGGAGTACAGATTCGAGAAGCTCTGGTGCTTTGAGCCCGGCGTCGAACTGCTGCCGCCACTTTTGCGTGAGACAATGGATAGAGAGCTGGAAGTTCGGCTGATTTGCATGGGGCACTGGATCAGGCGCCACTTTTTACCCGTGGGATCGGCGGAAGTCACCCCGGAGCGGTGGTACAGGCAACGGTCAGCGGCTCCAACGGCAAAGACCTGTGTGAAAATTCGATTAAAGTTAAGAGGATTGGAGCAAATAGAAACAAGAAAGGAAGCTAGCTTCGGCCGGCCGAAGCTTATATACCCTTGCAGATCATTCCTATTAACATACAAAAACATTTAATTTTGATTTACTTGCTTATATGTTCAAACCATCGAAATTTTAGCTGCTTCCGTATTATTTTGTCATTATTTTTGTATCCTTCCTATGGGAGCTATATTATATAGACGTCCGAATTAAGTTAAATTGAAAAGAAAAGCTATATCCCAGTGAAGAAGAGAATGTAATGAAAATCAACAAAGATATAATTTTTTTCCTTTTAATTTTTATTTAATTTTCCGACCGTTCCGGTTATGGCAGATATAGTGATCCGATTTTTTAAAAATTTTATTCGAAATTCAGAAATATTTTTAAAATAATATTCCCAAGAGTAGAAGGTAATATTTCAAAAAACACTGAAGCTAGAATTTTGTTAACTTTTTTTTTCGATCTTTCCTATGGGAGCTATAAGATATAGTAGTCCGATCCGGTCGGTTCCGACTTATATACTACCTGCAATAGAAAGAAGACTTTTGGGAAAGTTTCAACCCGATAGCTTCAAAACTGAGAGACTAGTTTGCGTAGAAACGGACAGACAAACGGACAAACGGACAGACGGACAGACGATCAAGAATATATATACTTTATGGGGTCGGAAACGTCTCCTTCACTGCGTTGCAAACTTCTGACTGAAATCATAATACCCTCTGCAAGGGTATAAAAATGAAAAGGCTCGGTAAAAACCAAAAAGACAGCATACCTGATCATTGGCCGCCACAGAGACCATGGATATATTGCCCACCATCTCCACCCAGCCCTTGCCAATGGCCGAATCCTCGCTGATGCCCGCCGCCTCGCCCTTGACGCCCCGCCTGAACCAGGCATGATGATCGTTGGTCACACACCAGACGGCATCGGTTCCCACGGAAACGTGGACGATGCGCAGGCTGCAGCTGGCCACCGGTGTCTTGACATCCAGCCAGGCATCTCCCACTAGGTTATCCCGCGTTACACCGGTGCGCACGATGACTCGGCCGTTGTAGAGAACCGCCCAGACCAGACCAGTGGGTCCCACGCTAATCTGCGACAGCTCGCTGCCCGTGGGCGTGGGCACAGCCGTCCAACGGAGTCCCTCGGGCGAGGTCTTGGACACCCCCGTGCGGAACATGGCCCTGCCGTGGGCGGTGATGGCCCAGACGCATAGAGTTCCGGCCGGTGCATTGGGCACACAGGTGCCACCGATGGCCACATCGATGAAGGGCTCCTGCGTGGGATCCTTGTGCAGCGGCGCCACGGCGCACCAGCTGTTTAAGGCGGCATATCGCCTGTATCTCACCCACTTGCGGCGGCGGACATAGGAGTTCCAGGATTTCTTAACCGAATACGTGGCCGGAAAGTCCAAAGCATACATCCAGCCATCCTCCGGCAGCGGCTGTCCGTCCAGTTCCAGGTCCAAATGCCAGTCGCCGTCCCACTGCCAGGCCATCGAGGGCAGCCGGATCTTGTCCACGCCCCGCTCCACGCTGCCATCGGCGGAGGAGTACCTGTAGCGATCCGTGGGCAGCAGCGTCTTCGAGAATCCCTCGATGGGCAGCCAGCGCTCGTTCTCGTAGGATTCCTCCCGTATCCGGATGGGCACGTCCAGGCCGTGGACATGCACATACACCTGACGGTCGCCGCCAATGGCCCACAGGAAGTTGGTCACCGCGCAGATCTTCTTGAACTCCAGTCCCAAATAGGGCAGTTCCCGCCAAGCCGCCGAGCTGGTGGACAGCGTGTAGACGCGACCCTCGCTGCTGGCGGCGAACAGGTAAGAGCTCGGCATGGTGGGATCGTTTCTTGACTAGATTCTAGGGATCCTCTCTTTGTCTGCCATCGTGTTTACAATGCAGGCGGAAAAATTGATTTTTCTGAAGATATAGATTTCTGGCCAGCGGTGGCACAGCTGATGGCTGCGTTCCAACCGATAGTATCGTGTAGATGATATTCTTCATGTCATGTAGAATGTTGATAAGCAATTTTAATTTTAAAAACATGATAGTTTCTATTAAAATTCATTTATAAAGAAAAGCATAAACTTAGTAAATGCTTTATTTGTTTAAATTTTTTTAGAACATATTTATTAATTTACTTTACCTTCTCTAAATTAAATTTAAATAAATATTTCAATAGTCAAGTCGATGGCCTTTGCAGCCAGCAGTCTAAATTTCTAAATAGGTATTACTTTAAAGGCGATTTGTATTAAATAGATATAAAGTATCATAGGGCTGAGGCCTACAGCTGCTAAAGCTCATACCCACTGTTAGCAAGTAGTTTCCAATTAGTTGTTAGCATTAAATAAATAAACAAATTAATATTTTAACAAAAGGTCCTTCGACAACCCGACAAACAGCGCTGTTAACTTTCGTGAGCCACAACATACAAATACCGATTACTATCGAAGATAAGCCACCGTAAAAATCAGGGTGGCAACTCTTTTGGCCGCTTTCCGATTTCGATCGTTTCAAATCAGACGCTAAAAGGACTTTGAATCGTCAAATTTCAAATATTTTTGAAGTTCATTTTCTTTTAATTATGTAGCTGCGGGGTTTTTAATTGCTATAGCAGTATAGCAGTAATGGTCACAATAATAATCTATACTATCGACAGCAGAAAGAATGGCCCAATTATTTTGTTTCAAAACAACGCGATAGCTACTCGTGACACGGAGAGAATCGCGACCAATGCTCATCTCTAGACCCAGCTTGCTGCATTGATTTTGAAAAATATGGTAAAAATTGAAGCGTTTTAACTGCTAAACTCGGAGGCGTAGGCCTAAAACCGAAAACATACGATCGAGGACACTTTCAACCGGTCACCGTTGCAAGGGACAGCCGTGATTTTGGCCACTCGGCGTGGCGACGTTCGACGCAGAAAATCGAGCACGCGCAGGCCAGACGGTCGGTCGGTCGCATCAGCTGCTGGCTGTGGGACACCCGGAGTCCGACCACGGACAAGTCCCACTCCCCCCGATTCCCCCCATTCCGTAGTCGCAGTCCCAGTGCCGAAACGAATCCGAATCCGAATCGGAGGCCCTTCCAGCAGCCGGTATTTCGTGCTCTTGTGTGTAGTAAAACATATGTACACACGCCTAGTACAAACGTATATACATATATGAGTTAAAAACTATATGTATCCCCCTACCCAATGTCCTGTGCATCCCGTGGAACCTCTGCGCTGCATCCGCCAGAAAACTCCCCTAAAAATAGCCCACTATTAATCGGAACCCTTTCCCTACCCACAGCTAACCACTTCGGAGCTCTAGTGAACTGGTCGTAATCGGAAAATCCAGTAAGTGCATCTCATATCACCTGCCCAAAAGCCAAAAACTAAACCCACAATCCACAGCAAAACTCACCTTCGACGGACGGAACGGACAGACTGCGGAAAACACATCACATTAAGTCATGCCACGGGGAAAACGCCGAGCTGCAGACACAATTAGCGAAAACATGGATCATGGTCAACCGAAGAGGGCCCGAACCAGCTACACCAGCATACCCACACAACAGAGCAGCAGGTGAGTGCGGAGAAAAGGAAAGGAGAGGAAAAGGAACAAAAGGCCTTCGTGCGGCATCATCTGTTCCTGGGGAAAAGCATCTGGTTTCCGGTATAGAGATTTATATGCCATTGATGCTTTTCAAATTTGTATAAAACCAAAAAGAAAAATCCAAGGAGCAGAATGTCTCTCATCTGCCACTGAAAAATGTATCATTCATTGAAAAAGGAGTAGTTTTCCTATTGACAAATATCTGCCTATGAATAGGGAACTTACATAAATTCTTTTGACTGATTTTATTGCAAAAATTGTGTTTCCCGAAATTCTGACTGTTTAGTATATTATCAAAACGATTATTCATCCTATTATTCACTATTTGTACATATTTCCAAGCAGAGACTCGTAATGATTTACTTGATTTTCATAGTCAAATATTGCTCTATTTCCAAGTATTCAGATCAAAGATCTCTTGATTTGTGCCTTCAAAAAGATGATTAATGTGAATTTTATTATGCCACTATAAATGCTGATTATTTAGGAGAATATTAAACTTCCGCTAAATGTTTGATTAAGATAAACTTATCATGAAGAACTGTTGTTTATCATTTATGGTTTTTTATATAGTAATTCAGTAGGAATATAAACATTCACCTGTTCTGGTACTTACTCAGTTTAATTTAAATTCTCCAACTATAGATTTCCTAAGTTATTGTTTTTTCAAATGGTGTAGAGAAATTACTCATCAGTTATCAGTTCTCTATTAATCTTGTGCGAATAGATAACTCCATGCTAATAATTAAAATCCCTTGTTTTCAGCAGGCATCAGTATTTATTTCCACTTTAAACTCATTTATACTAATTATAAACAAAAGCATTTAAAGTTCCTATAATCCCCACGCGCATTTCTTTCGATATTTCAATTGGCAAACTTTTGAATGGATAAAGAGATAATGACGGTTTAATAGGCGGTGCAGGAGGAGATTTCGTTTAACAAGGTGTCATAAAAAACGAGTATTCAGTATAGATGCTTCCTTAAAATTTCCGAAACATGAGTATAAGTCCACGATGCCAATTTTGGTCTTTCGCTAAGATTAGTTTGCCTGGTAAATAATAGTTACTGGGTAATAATGATATATATTAACATTTAATAATCATATATGGTGTGCTATTATTTTATACATTAACAATATGGAAGACATTTGCATTTCTCATATATGTATCTTTAGTTGACTTCGATAATCTCGTAAATGTTAATCTCATTATCTGCGGGGACAACTCTTAAAGTTTAAAAATATAGGACTACAGGATTGCAATAGATCCAACAAACGTGGGGGATATGTGTAGACAACGATATGATCGAAATAGTTGAACGAAAACGAATACTTTTGGGTGTGCTCTTTACTCTGCTCACTCCATGGAACCGTACTGGACCTTCTTGACTTTGAAGTACCTGTTGGAAAATAATCCTTATTATAATACCTTCTTAAGGTGAAAGTATAGAATATATTACCTCCATCCGCCGTAACCCGAGATGGTCAGCAGCACGGCGATGGCGAGGGCAGTGCCCACGGCCAGGGGCGCCGTCTCATCGCGATAGGATCCCGTGGCGCTGCAGTGGAAGGGCGGTCCCCACTTGCCGCTGTCCTTGAACATGAAGCTCTGCATGTGCATGTCCCGCAGATAGACCTTGGCTATGTGCCCCGACTGGTCGCCCGAATCGTGCGGTGCGTACATGATCACGGTCTGCTCCTTGTCGCAAACATACGATTTGCCCACCGGGGTGGGGAAATACATGGGCGTCTGGGCGGGCGAGGTGAGCTTCACGTCCAAATTGGGGCGATCCGGGTGCTCGAACAGCCAGTTGGAGGATGAGTAGGTCAGCTCGAAGAGGTTGATATACCAACCCTCGCCGCCGGACGACTGAAAGCCAAAGTTCAAATATTAATATCAACCTTTAACAACCTCTGACCTTTCAGTGATGGGAAGTTTCTGGGGTGGTGAAATAGATACTCCTAGATACTTTTCTATTTTACTTGCTGGCGTAATTGGGGGCAATACATGCTCAGTAGTTGAACGTGCCTAGGCAGCAATTAGTTCACAGAAAAAAAATGGCAATGGTCAATTTGATATTTTTTTAAGATCAAGTTTAATTAATTGCTCAAAAAATACTAAATTTGGTATTTTTTATGATATGATAAAATATTATGTTGATATGTTTGAATCTTAAATTTGACATAAATCATATCGGCTTTTTATTGATATGAAATAAGGTAGATTTAACCCTATTTCATTTCTGTTTTTTTCTGTGTTGTTAATTATCTTATCGATTTTTCGAATGTGAATTTTGGTATACCTTTACTTTGAGACATTTTTTAAAGAAGCTATAAACTCTACCCTTTCCGAAAATATTTAAATAATGAAGTAAAACCTTTCCCATCACTTGTAAGCAACCCACGCACCTTTTTAAATGTCATGGACAGCCGGAAACCCTTGAAGTCCATGGTGAGAATCTCCATATTGGACTCGACGCACTCGCCACTCAGCTGGGGATCATCGGGCATGTACAGGTCGGCCTCCACATCCTCGTTCAGCTTGTTCCGGTACTTGATGCTGATTAGTCCGTCCACCTGCATCAGGATGCAGGTGATGCCATTGGTGGCATTGAATCGATACAGCGAGGCGGTGGCATCGTGGTTCATCGAGGAGGCCTACAAAGGATTAAATCATCAGTTAGGACTGGGAAAAAGGGAATTCCTAAATGTGGATTACCGATGGCGACTTGGTTGTGTACTTGCTGACCCGCGGCGTCTTCGTTGTAAAGGCACTCAGCTGCAATCCCTGGGCGGCAGTGACTAAAAGGAGTGGTTAAAAGTAGATTCACAGGTTGCACTTAGCCAGCTTAGCTCATTTTTCAGTCAGTGTGTCACAAAACCGTCCTCGACAGTATCGATTTTCGGTGCTACCACCCACCTACGAGGAATCCCACATCCCCTGCCCCCAAATGTCTCTACTTTACTCACCCAAAAGTGCTACGATTGCCGTGGAAATCAGAGTGGCGTTGATGCCTTGGCCCAATCCTTGGACCCCGGATAGTTTCATTTTCTCTAGCAAATCCCTGTGCACTTTTTTGGTCAATTCCAATGACTATTTTACGCTGCAGTCTCCGCTCGACGCAACTACGACGTGTTTCCTCTTTCGGGTCCTGCGCACAACTGCGGCCCAAATAGAATCGCAATGTCCTCCTGTCGCCTCGAATCCACCCACTCCGCTGCCACCCACTCTTCCCTTATCCTGCCACAGGACTTCACTCTCGCTTTTCGCCTGCGCAGTCGCTTGGTAATGGGACGCTGGACGAGATGTGGGTATATTTGTATGTATGTAGGTGCACTTGCACGTATAGTATTGAAATAAGAAATAAATAGGTAAATAATAAGAATGTCATTTATGTAGTTAATTGAACATTTTTAATATTAATTATAATTTTTATTAACATCTTTTAATAGCCGAATTGTAGGTTTTTCCATTTTTTGAAGGAAAATATTTATTTTAAAATTTAAATTTAATAAAGAACAACTTGTGGAGGGTATGGCAGCTATAAATAAAGTATAGTCGTTACATTTTAGAAAAACTTTTTAAAATATTTTTTTTTAAGTTATAAATTTGTATATTATTTCGTCCAATCTAATTTCAAATTAAATTCAAAATTGTAAAATATTAAAAAAATCATATGTCAAAAAAAATGAACGCTAAAATGAGAAAAAAAAATTGTTTTAATAATTTTTCCTTTTTTTTATTGTTTTCCGATCCTACTTATAACTTATAACTGACTAAAATTAAAACGAGATGCTACTTGCTTAATAAACTGATAAATTAGTTTATAGGAAAATATATTATAATCGAGCTACCCGTTTCAATAGTCGTCCAATCTAATTTCAAATTAAATTCAAAATTGTAAAATATTAAAAAAATCATATGTCAAAAAAAATGAACGCTAAAATGAGAAAATAAATTGTTTTAATAATTTTTCCTTTTTTTTATTGTTTTCCGATCCTACTTATAACTTATAAGTGACTAAAATTAAAACGAGATGCTACTTGCTAAATAAACTGATAAATTAGTTTATAGGAAAATATTTTATAATCGAGCTACCCGTTTCAATTTCTATCTGATAACATTTGTCCCATTTTGTACGAAAAAGATTGCCTTAGATGATGATCAATACTAATTGTTGTCCCGATCGTTCCCATTTCCTTTAATAAACACAATACAAGGCTCGTCTCCCCGAAGTACATAAAAGTTCGACAGCCTTTGGTTTTCCTAATTTTTCCGATTTGTCATATCTTCTGGGTTGGCATTATTTTCTTTGCTTCCCTGTGCGCCTCCGCTCTTGGCATTGGCCTCGTCTCGTCTCTGCTCTGTCATGTTTACTATTGCTATTTTTAGGGGGCCAATACTCAAAAACAAACCCCAGAGCAGCAGCAGAGGCAAGTCGAATAAAATAAACAAAAGAGGCCACACGGCAATAGCGACAGATTCGATTAAAACTCTGGTCTACATGTGGTGAAGGCAGAAACAGTGCAGTAAATTCCATATAATTTAGATGGCAGAGTGTGTGCAATGTGATTGAATCATTGAACCCGATTGATTAAGTCGAAAAACTTGTTGTTTCTATTCCGCAGACGCCATATAAGAGCGGAGGATGGCTTCAGTCAGAAACGATGTTTGACATGGTTCCAGGAATACACCACTCCAGATGAACCAGAGACATTGGGTGAGTTTAGTTTATTATCGAAAATTAAAGCAATATATTATATTATATGGTATAAAAACCTCAAGGTTTTAACTTTTAAATAAATTGAAGATATATCTGAGAAATTCTATTTATATATTGGCCCCTGAAATACTTATGTAACGATCTATTTCTTCAGGTCCCGATGGGATGGAGAAATTCTGCGAGGACATCGGCGTGGAGCCAGAGAACATTGTGATGCTGGTGCTGGCCTACAAAATGGGCGCCACCCAGATGGGCTTCTTCAGCCAGCAGGAGTGGCTCAAAGGCCTCACAGAACTGGACTGCGATTCGGCAGCGAAAATGGTTGTGAAACTGGACTATCTGCGCAGCATACTCAACGATCCCAACTCCTTCAAAAGCATCTACAGATACGCCTACGATTTTGCCAAGGTGGGTTCTTTATAATAACTTTAACTATGATTTGTAATTAAGAAGGCTTTCCTCTTTTTAGGACTCGGACCAACGGTGTATGGATATTCTCACCGCCAAGGCCATGCTCCAACTTCTCTTAGGCAAACACTGGCCTCTGTATCCGCAGTTCGCACAGTTTCTAGAGCAGTCAAAGTACAAGGCGATCAACAAGGATCAGTGGTGTAATATTCTCGAGTTCTCGCGCACCATCTGCATTGACTTGTCAAATTACGATATTGACGGGGCATGTAAGTACACAGAACAAAATTTGATATTTTTTAAAGATCAAGTTATTCATATCATTTTGATATGAATAAAGATCATGTTAATCTTTTTTTATATTATTTGCTCAAAAAATACTACATTTGGTATTCTTTATGATATGATAAAATATCATGTTGATATGTTTGAATCTTAAATTTGACATAAATCATATCGGCTTTTTATTGATATGAAATAAGGTAGAAATAACCATATTTCATATCGTTTTTTTTTTCTGTGTAGCCAAAGGTCTAAAGAATAAAATTTATTAAATTTAGTAACTGAAAAATAAGAAGAAATATAGCATATATGTATTGAGATGTTCCTAACTATTTTAATAGCTTGGGACCATTTTAAATTGTAAAAATTTCAAGATTTATATAAGATACTTCTTATAGACAATACTAATGACTAGTAAATACTAAAAATTAATTAATTTCAATTAATTCTGATTCCAGGGCCCGTCATGCTGGATGAGTTTGTGGAATGGCTGCGCCTGCAGCGGAGCCAGGTCACCTCGACCTCCGGGTCCAGCTGAGAAAAGCTGAATCGAGTCGCCTATTTCTAGTTCAACTTTGGGAGCTCAGTGCGGAGGAGTTCGCGGAGGAGGAGGAGATGGGATGCGATGGGAGTACGGATGAGATGAGATCGGATCGGCGGAAATATAAGACAGAACCACAGGACACTCACTGACACCCACACCCACGCCCACACTCACAGACACAACCACACACTCACCCACACAGAAACACAAGGCATTTTGGAGAGACTGCGTACACTGGCAAAGCAACCAACTATGAAACTAAACTATTGATAATATATTTAATGTAATAATTTATGTATTAACGACAACTAAAAACTAAAACCACACTTTTCTACTTTTAAGGCCTCCTTTGAAAAACAAAAAGAAAAAAATGAGATCGAAAAAAAGAAAAACAAGAACAGCAACAAGAGCCAAAATGGGGGCAGCTTGTAAAAAGTAAACCCAGAAAAATGAAACGATGGCAATAACCAAGAGATCCCCCATAGACCTAATCTAGAACATACAATTGAACTCAAGAGACCCCTTCAAGATATCAGCAAGCATAGTCAAAATCTCAACGAAATTCAACACCAATACTGGGGAATTTGTAGTCGTTATTAAATCAATGTAGAAAAACAAAAACATTTGGGGACTATTTAATAAAATTATTAAGTGAAAATGTGGCACGATGCTTTATTATTTTATAAATTGGCAAGAGGGTGGTTTTAAGTTGACTTAAATTAAATGAATTGCCTTTTTAATGACTCTTCTTTACATTTTTATCAATGAACAAAGTTTATTCAATCATATATTCATCATATATTTAAATTTTAATCGAAGAATAAACTCTTTGAGTAAACCAATTTAAAAACAATAAGGGCTAAAGTGAGAATGTCTTTAAAAAATATTTAAAAAGTGGTGTGAACAAAATATTTAATTTGAAAAAGAAAATGCAGCTATAGAAATTCAAACAGATAACGGCTCGAAAAGTGTTTTACAACACTGGCGATAAAATACTGCAAATAAATGCGATAAATACCAGAATTTTATACGATAGCCGGCGAAACGGGCACTCAAATTCAGCTGACGCTTGTCGCCCAATTTTTGGCATTTAAAAAATCGAACGGTTTCGGCGCGTTGTCCGCTTTGTGCTTGCTTTTCGTGCACTCGATGGGCAAAATCGAGATTTGATCGCCGTTTCTCTTGTCATTTGTGTGGATCTCCGTTTTGTGGCCCTTTCAGCCGTCAGTTCGTCCGAAATTCGTTCAGTTCAGGCGGAAAACGAGGATTTTTTGCAACTCCAGGCGAACGCCAGTGCAAAAGAGGGAGCCCGAGAAAGGAGATCAAGATGGCCGCGAAGCCCGAGGATAAGAGCACGGATATTCCGGATCGTCTCTTCGATTCCAACCAGCGCAAAACCTACAAGCGCATGCGGTTCTTCGGCAAGGTAAGTGCGGATCTCCGAATGCGGATGTCCGGATGTGCATGCAAATAAGTCATAGAGATCCGCAGGCCACACCAACACCCTCACACACACAGCACCATGTCCACATCCCGGTTTTTGGTTCCGTTTTCCTTACCGTTCTTGATGCTCCCTCTTGTTTTTGTTGTTTTCAAAAGAAAGGGCGAGAGAGAAAGAGAGCATGTGGTTAGGAATGTGCGTACGAGTGTGTGTGTGCGTGCAGTTGTCAGTTTTTTTTGTTTTTTGGCGCGACTTCTTGAGTTTATGTGAAAAAATTTCAATTTTGTCAACTATAAAGCTGACTAATCATATATTCATGATCCGATTCTGGGGTTTACTAACTGATTCCTTCAGGCTCCAGAAAAACACAAGTTCCTTGTACCAAAAAACCTTAACAATTCAAAATTCATTAAACTAATTGTAAGAATCCAAAGATAAATGTACCATTTAAGGTCAAAATATATTACTGCGAAATTCTTAATCAGAAATGATTTACATTTATCCAAAGTCCCAAGAGAGTAGTTTTCTTGTGTGTGTTTTTTGTCCTTCATTTGTACTCCAAATTCAGGTTTTGTAAACCACATTTTTTAAAAGTTTTAGATGGGGTTTACCTAATATTAAGTTTCATAAATCAAAAAATATTCTTCATATCGTGCAAAATAATCTATTATTCCATTCCTTTCCTTTTTTTGTATAAGAATTTTTGTGTTCCAATGATAGGAAAATATGATCCTTAAAATAAAATACTTTCAAATCTATTAACCCTTTTCCCATATTATCCCAGGGCGGCTTTGCGAAATGCTACGAGATAATCGATGTGGAGACCGACGATGTCTTTGCCGGCAAGATCGTTTCCAAGAAGCTGATGATCAAGCACAACCAGAAGGAGAAGACCGCCCAGGAGATAACCATCCACCGCAGCCTCAACCATCCGAACATTGTCAAGTTCCACAGCTACTTTGAGGATGTGCAGAACATCTACATTGTGCTGGAGCTGTGCAAGAAAAGAGTGAGTTTCCCTGGGGGTCTAAATCTATAAACTACAATAACTAACCCCCTCGATTTCCAGTCGATGATGGAGCTGCACAAGCGCAGGAAGAGCATCACGGAGTTCGAGTGCCGCTACTACATTTACCAGATCATCCAGGGCGTCAAGTACTTGCACGATAACCGCATTATCCACCGCGATCTGAAGCTGGGAAATCTCTTCCTGAACGACTTGTTGCACGTGAAGATCGGGGATTTCGGTTTGGCCACGCGGATCGAGTACGAGGGCGAGCGCAAGAAGACGCTGTGCGGCACACCCAACTACATTGCCCCGGAGATTCTCACCAAGAAGGGTCACTCGTTTGAGGTGGACATCTGGTCGATTGGCTGCGTCATGTACACACTACTGGTGGGTCAGCCGCCATTTGAGACGAAGACTCTCAAAGACACCTACTCTAAGATCAAGAAGTGCGAATACCGCGTGCCCAGCTACTTGAGGAAGCCGGCGGCGGACATGGTGATTGCCATGCTGCAGCCGAATCCGGAGAGCCGCCCGGCGATTGGGCAGCTGCTGAACTTTGAGTTCCTCAAGGGCTCCAAGGTGCCCATGTTCTTGCCCGTCTCTTGTTTGACGATGGCGCCGCGTATCGGCAGCAATGACACTATTGAGGACTCTGTTCACCGCAAGCCGCTGATGGAGATGAACGGCATCAAGCCGGACGACACCCGCCTGGAGTCGACCTTCTTGAAGGCCAATCTGCACGACGCCATCACCGCCTCGGCGCAGGTGTGCCGCCACAGCGAGGACTATCGCAGCGATATCGAGAGCTTGCACCAGCAGCTCACCAATCTCATTAATGGCAAGGTAAATAGCGTTGTCTTACTTGCTCTTTACCTGAGAAAACCACTAAACCCTATCCCCTTTATAGCCGCGAATTTTGCAAGGCAATCTGGGCGACGAGAACACCGATCCTGCCGCACAACCGCTCTTCTGGATTTCCAAGTGGGTGGACTACAGCGACAAGTACGGCTTTGGCTACCAGCTCTGCGATGAGGGCATCGGCGTGATGTTCAACGACACCACAAAGCTCATACTGCTGCCGAATCAAATCAACGTGCACTTCATCGACAAGGACGGCAAGGAGAGCTATATGACCACCACCGATTACTGCAAGTCGCTCGACAAGAAGATGAAGCTGCTGTCCTACTTCAAGCGCTACATGATCGAGCATCTGGTGAAGGCAGGCGCCAACAATGTGAACATCGAAAGCGATCAGATCTCGCGTATGCCGCATCTGCACTCCTGGTTCCGCACAACCTGTGCGGTGGTCATGCATCTGACCAACGGATCAGTGCAGGTGAATAAATACCCTTTTCTAAACTATATATTTTATGCTAATCAAATTCGCTTTTTCAGCTCAACTTCTCGGACCACATGAAGCTCATCCTCTGCCCGCGCATGAGTGCCATTACCTACATGGACCACGAGAAGAACTTCCGCACCTACCGATTCTCGACCATCGTGGAGAACGGCGTGTCTAAAGACCTGTACCAGAAGATCCGCTATGCCCAGGAGAAACTTAGGAAAATGCTGGAGAAGATGTTCATCTAATCGTAGCCAGGCCAATACATTTTAAGGCCGAATGTTAGTTTAAGCCAATCCACGAATGCCCTGGCCAACTTCACATATAGAGATAGCCCCCCAAACGGATCCTCTCCATGCATTTTAAAAAAATTGTAGTTTCTGTTCAAATTGATTTGATTGTTCTCTGTTTTAGATTTTATTTGTTTTCTCCTTTCCCCTTCATCTACTGGTTAAGTTATATGCATAATCAATGTCGGGCCATCCCTCGAAAATATATAAATATGTCTGTTTCATGGTTTTCGTACACGGATCACTTAATAAATTTATAAAGAAACAAAGTGTTGCGCGAATTCACCCAGTTGACTGATAACGCCATTTAAATGCTGGACACATTTTGCACCTAAGTTTAATAAATGCTTATAATACAGACTGTTTAGCATGAAAGTGCTTTGCAGGACAATTATTTTCTAATAAGTTTTATGCAGAAATACCGTTCGTGATAAGATACAATTTGTAATTGCTTAGAAGCCTGTATGTATTTAAATAAAATCTCTGGAAATAAAACTTAATTATTACAGTTTACAGGCTTTTTCTTATTAGATATTTAAAATCAGTAAAGCGGTTAATATAAATGTTTATTGATAAGGACTTGGAATTGAAAAACCGTTACGGATCTGGCATTTTCCAGCACTGGTATGTGTCGTTTCTACCAGACTGAGCGATGGTAACACTGGCACGAGCGTTTTGGTCACTCTAATCAGCTTATTGATTTTATTTTCTCGAAAAAAGTTGCCAATACGTACACACTCGCTGAAAGGCCGAATAAGTCTTAATATTTAGATGCAATTAGTGCCGAGGCGGACATAAATCCTCGACATGGGTGACAACGAACAGAAGGCGCTCCAGCTGATGGCCGAGGCGGAGAAGAAGCTGACCCAACAGAAGGGCTTTCTGGGATCTCTATTCGGGTTCGTACCATCGAAATTTCGCAATGGGGAGTGGGAAAATTGCTCCTTGTCTGGTATAACGATCCATTTCCACATCCCCAGATGCTTCAGATATAGATATATACGATATGAATATATTTATTATCCATTATACTCACTGTACTACACTATTTTCACTACTCACGATAATACGTATACGTATTGATGTGGACTCTACGCCTCCACCCAGGAACTGAAAAAAGTGCGAATTAAACTGATAATAAGTTTGAGATATGTATTACAGGAAAAATGCAAAGTATTGATAAGAAGGCTATGCATATATGTATGCATTGTTATTGGTTAATACAAAATATACGCACTTACGCTTTCATATGGTTGTTGATGATTCATTGTATTCAAAAGTTTAATCATATTCAAACATAACAACCTATTGCTCAGATCTTTCCAGAATACGATTTCTAAAAAACATATTTTTTTTTTATCATTTTAAACAAATAACTTTAAATCTTTAAATTGGTAATAATAATTAAAGTTCTATTATTATTTTTTAGAACTAAAAAGGGAGGAATATAAGAAAACATTTTTAGCTCATAGCTTCACTAAGTTAATTTTATATAAATAAATAAAATAAAATAATTTTTAAAAATTTCAAATTTCTCTTTTTTTAAATTAATTTTAAAAAATAAAACAAAATTTTTCCTAAATAATTTCTTTAAAAAACTTAAGCATTTTAAATGTAATTTTTGCCTTATTTTAACTTATTTTGCCTTTAGTGACTCGTGATCACACTACTGTTCTAACAACTACAAAAATATAGGTAAAAAGCTAATAAATATCCACCATTTCAGAGGCTCCAACAAGGTGGAGGACGCCATCGAGTGCTACCAGCGGGCGGGCAACATGTTCAAGATGTCCAAGAACTGGACAAAGGCCGGCGAGTGCTTCTGCGAGGCGGCCACGCTGCATGCCCGGGCCGGAAGTCGGCACGATGCAGGAACCTGCTACGTCGACGCCTCCAACTGCTACAAAAAGGTGGACGTCGAGAGCGCCGTCAACTGTCTGATGAAGTCCATCGACATCTACACGGACATGGGTCGCTTCACGATGGCCGCCAAGCATCACCAGAGCATTGCTGAGATGTACGAGAGTGATCCCAATACTCTGGTGGGTATTCAGAATTAAAACAAAAGATCAATTCATAATTATATAAGATAATATTTCGCCTAGGCCAAGTCCATTCAGCACTACGAGCAGGCAGCCGATTACTTCAAGGGCGAGGAGTCGGTCAGTTCGGCCAACAAGTGCATGCTGAAGGTGGCCCAGTATGCCGCCCAACTGGAGGACTACGAGAAAGCAATATCCATATACGAGCAGGTGGCCGCCTCTTCGCTGGAGAGCTCGCTGCTCAAATACAGTGCCAAGGAGTACTTCTTCAGGGCCGCCCTCTGTCACCTGAGTGTGGACCTCCTGAACGCGCAGCATGCCATTGAAAAGTATGCCCAGCAGTACCCAGCATTCCAGGACTCAAGGGAGTTCAAGCTCATTAAGGTGGGTTTTTATCATATAATTTAAATGCCCAAAGTTTGGTAGGAAAAACTTAAGTTAATAACTTGTCTCTCTTTATGAATTATTTTCAATTACTCATGGACTTCCTCAATTACAGGTTTTGTGCGAACATCTCGAGGAACAGAACATCGAGGGATTCACAGAGGCCGTCAAGGATTACGACAGCATCTCGCGGTTGGATCAGTGGTACACCACCATCCTATTGCGCATCAAGAAGGCTGCGGACGAGGATCCAGATCTGCGATAAAATAATCAATTACACTTTCTGATGAAGTCGCGTACACATTTATTAAATGCTTTATTCGGTTCGGATATTAATCTACCTATATATATAACTAAATGGAAATTAATTAAACGTGTTGCATTGCTAAACCTGAAAGCACCCGAAATGACAGCCTGCTTAATCGCGTGAATTGAACTTACCGAACAGTCCATATACCCATATTCTAGAGTTTAAATTAACGCTTATGCAACGAAAAAGAGAAATCAGCAGAAGCCACTGTTCAGCTATCAGATTCAATTTAATTATTTCCAATTCGGAGTGATTCGAGGTGTTATGTTTGTCTGTTTTTGCGTTACTCTTGTTATTTGTGTAAGTAGCCAATCAGTAAGTTAGCTGCTGTTTTATTTGGATGCGTAAAATACCCTATAGAAATCCGTATCCATACTACTATAAAATAATAATAACTTTCATTACTTCGAGATTAATTAAAGAGAGTCCCCGGTAGTGAGCGAACATGAATTTCATTTTCTGCACAGAAAATATTAAAACATACCTTTTTAGATTGTACTCAAATACACAACCTATAAATAAAATATATGTCCATATAAACATTAACAATTACCCCTATAAATATCCAAAAGAAGAAACGGAATTCAAATAAATACTTGAGGGTCACATTTATAGAAAATTCCATCTCGCAAAATTTTAAAAATGTTTAGTAGATCAACTTCCTATAAACATGTACGAAGCAAGTTATAATCCAATTAATAAAATAACGACGGAGCTACGAAGTTTAATCGGCCGCTGAGGACGAAAACAAATATCAATTTATTGAATGAATATCTCCAGGAAATACACTACACAACTCAAAACCCACAACACATTTAATTAATACCAATGCAAAGATCTAAGTAATGTCTCTACGCATGCATTACCTTAGATATCTCCAATTAAAATACTTTAATAAAGTTACATGCTTGGATTAATCCTGTCATCCTGTCTTCGTATCCAACGATTTTTGTCAATATACGCACAACCAATCCAGTCATATTCATGGTCTTTCTCTTCCTTGATTGAAATATTTTTAATAGCTTAGTTTGCAACTGTAACTTACCTTGTATTTGTTTAAATCGTAAAGGTAATGTAAAGTCTTATAGATACTCCCATCTTTTACTTGATTTATTTTTAAGTTTTTAAAAGATATAGCAGAAATTTTTAATGATGTAAAAATGCCACTACGTTTACGATAGGAAACTGACTTGTACAGCATTTATATCAATTTGATAAGTGCCTGGGGTTGCGATGTCAACCAGTTTCTATTTCAATCAGCTGCAATATCAGTAGTATTTCCACCTGATCGTGCGAACTGAGATACTTTTGCGAACGTCATTGTCAAGAGCAACGGACAAAGGCCTGCCAATATCAATATCAATATGGGAGTTCTCTCGCTCTGGCTCTCCGAATGGGGGTCTCTGATTCAGAGTCGGGCTCTCGGGGGCGATGACGATGGGATGGGATGAGATGACCATATCAATAATCTCGCCAGTCATTCAGCCAATGTTCGTGCGTTAGGTTCACATTATTGTGGGGAGAGGTCCGTATAGCAGGTCTCCCATCGAGTTCTTCGCAAAACCACCAGTGGCTTAGTCCAGAAATTAAAATAAATAAATAGAATTATATAAACGCAAAACCAATACGCTAGCAAATATACTATACGTATACCCTCCTGTTGACGGTGTATTTGTATATCTGTGGAATTCCCAGTGCATTCCGGTTTTTCGAATAACATCCAACCAACAACACTGTGCCCATATAAACGTCGCTTTGTCGCACTGAAATACCAACATCGAAAAACCCCAAAAAAATATCAATAAAAAAAAGTAAAAAACCTCTCAATAATTGATGCACACCCACATGCTTACGCAAAAGTGTGATTCAATTCGTGTGCACAATCTATAATAAAAAATATTATTAAGCTGTGCTCAAAAGTCTGATAACCGAGGCTCAAACGAACTCTTTTTCCCAGACGCAAAATGCTCAAAGTACCAGGTAAAGTTAATCAACAATTACTTATGGGATATTTTCCAGTTCACGTTAGTTTTATATATTATTTTACAAGTACTAGTACGTACAGTACACACGTACACATTCATATTTATAAGGTCGTCAACGGATCACCGCTATCAGTTGGAAAATGCTCATTGTTTACGCATCTGAAAATATACTATTCACTTGATTGTTTATATAATTTTAATAGATTTTAATAATCCGGAACAAGGAACATGTGTATTTTTGGTAAAGAAAAATTGTTTGAAACAGAAGTATTAGGATAAATAAAAAATATTTTAGGTAGAAAATTGATTTTCATATAAATAATATCAAATTTAAACGACCAGTCAGTTGTCGGAATAATTCATAACAAACTAGTTTAAATTTATATCTTCGAAATATAAACTGCTGACCTGACTTTTAAGTTAATGAACAAACATTATATGATATGAAAATATAAAAGATATCTATATTTTTATTTTCCAAAAAGTAATCTTTAAATATTTCGGATAAGTGTATGTAGAAAAACCTATAACAGATCCTATAAATTTCAGATCGCAATATGGTACGGATCCCTTTGCTTTTGGGGGTCATCTTCCTGTGCTCGGCGCAGGCTCAAAATAGCCAAGCTCCCCTCCAACTGTCGGTGGGAAATCCTCTAACCGCTCTCACAGCACCGACGGCTTTTCAGAGTGGCGTCACTCACATCCAGGCCATGCGAAGCAACTTTGAAGAGGATGTCCTTATCAGCATTTCGCAGGGTGTCCAGGAGTTTGCCCTCGATCTCCTGCAGCGCATATCCGTCGAGGTGGAGAGGCTGAACAGGGACTTTATGATATCGCCCTTCTCCGTGTGGTCACTCCTGGTGCTCCTGTACGAAGGATCCGAGGGAGAGACCTACAACCAGTTGCGACAGGCCCTGCGGATCAATGTGGAGGATGAAAAGCTGCGTGGAGCCTACAAGGTGTGGAGCTCCTTTCTCAAGTGAGTTAAAAGACTGAAAAAGATGTAATAGATACTCAATTTTATTTTCCTTTTAGTACAACCACTCCAACTATCGAGGTGGCCACCCTGCAGGCCATTTACACCGGCAAGGACTATCCCATCAAGAGCAACTATCGGAATGCCATTCAGAACTACAATGTGCAGCCCGTGGAGGTGGACTTCAATAGCCCGGATTCCGTGCTGGAGATCAACGATGCCACAAAGCGCATCACCCGAGGTCTAATTCCACACACCGTTCTGCCTCAGGACATTTATGGAGCCAGGATGTTTCTGCTGTCCTCCCTCTACTTCAAAGGCCAGTGGAAGGTGGGTTTTTGACATTATCCTTAACTCATCTTCTTTAATATTTGTATCCCTTGGTATTCCAGTTCCCCTTCAACAAGACTCTGACGAGAGAGGAGCCCTTCTTCAGCGAGAGCGGCGAGGTGATCGGCAAAATACCCATGATGGTGCAGGAAGCGAACTTCGCCTATGTCTCCAACATCGAGGGTCTGGATGGCTACGTCCTGGAGCTGCCCTACGGCACCCAGGACCGACTGGCGATGCTCGTGGTGCTGCCCAAGCGGGGATTCAAGTTGAACGACGTGGCCAACAATCTGAAGACTCTGGGACTGCGACCCATTCTTCAGAAGCTGGCGGCCTTCAGGAACAGGGACACCGAGGACAACGAAGTGGAGGTCATGATGCCCAAGTTCATCACTACCACGGACTTTACACTCAAGGGAACGCTAATCAAGGTGGGTGGACTTCTTTTTTGATATCCTGCTAGAAGGTTATCCTCATCCATTCAAAGTTTTAAATATTTTAAATGACATTTCTATACCTAGATGGGCATTCGGGATCTGTTCGACGAGAGTGCCGCCAACCTGAACCGCATGTCCTCCGGATTGTTCGCCAAGCTGATCGTCCACTCCACCAAGATCATCGTGGACGAGCAGGGAACTACGGCGGGAGCTGTCACAGAGGCTTCGCTGGTCAACAAGGCCACCCCACCCAAGTTCCAGCTGAACAGGCCCTTCCAGTACATGATCGTGGAGAAGGCCACCGGCCTGATGCTCTTCGCCGGCCAAGTTCGGAACCCCAAGGCGGTTTAGAGATCTGAGCCTGACTTTACTCGCATACCACAATAAACACGTTACGTTAAGTCAATTATCTATCACTTTTATTTCATTGGGTGATATAGTTATACCCGTTACTTGTAGAGTAAAAGGGTATATTACATTCGTGCAAAAGTATGTAACAGGTAGAAGGAAGCGTTTCATTCCTATGGCACACGAGCACAATTGTTTTTGTAATAGCACTAAGCATACGGCTGTGCACTCGCAATGCTTGCCTATGCACACCCCGAATCCTCTTTGTGTCGCTGTCCTTAATAGATAAGAGCGAGCCAAGCCAACAACAAATTCCATTGAAGTTTTTTTTTCTCCTCAACTCACAATGCAAAGTGTTGTTGTCTTTTTCATGACTGTGTGTGACTTGTTACTCGCGTGCGTGTATTTTTACTTTAATGGTGTTTGTAACTGCACTGCCATAAGGCAGTTTTGAGCACCCCTGCTATATACTATATATATTCTTGATCAGGATCACTAGCCGAGTCGATCTAGCCATGTCCGTCTGTATGAACGCTGAGATCTCGGGAACTACAAAAGCTAGAAGGTTGAGATTTTCCACGCATATTCTTGGGCTTCCTACGCAGCGCAAGTTTATTTCAGCCGAGTGCCACGCCCCCTCTAACGCCCACAATCGCTCACTAACGATTTTAAAATGTGTCTGGCGCCCACCGCTTTAAAGATTTCCGAGAAGTATAAATGCAGTTTTGTTGTGCATATTTATACCCACGAAATGTAGAAGACATTTTTCAAATCGGACCATTCATTAAAAAGTTATACGCAATAAAAAAAAAGTTATATCTCCCTCGCACTCCCTTTAGCCGAGTGACGGGTATTAGATAGTCGGGACACGAACCCGACTAATAGCGTTCTCTCTTGTTTTTATTGTGGTATGTGAGTAAAGTCAGGCTCAGATCTCTAAACCACCTTGGGGTTCCGAAATTGGCCGGCGAAGAGCATCAGGCCGGTGGCCTTCTCCACGATCATGTACTGAAAGGGCCTGTTCAGCTGGAACTTGGGAGGGGTGGCCTTGTTGACCAGCGAAGCCTCTGTGACAGCTGCCGCCGTGGTTCCCTGCTCATCCACGATGATCTTGGTGGAGTGGACGATCAGATTGGCGAATAATCCGGAGGAAATGCGGCTCAGGTTAGCGGTACTATCATCGAACAGATCCCGAATGCCCATCTAGGTATAGAAATGTCATTTAAAATATTTTCAAACTTTAACAAAAAAGAAGTCCACCCACCTTGATTAGCGTTCCCTTGAGTGTAAAGTCCGTGGTAGTTATGAACTTGGGCATCATGACCTCCACTTCGTTGTCCTCGGTGTCCCTGTTCCTGAAGGCCGCTAGCTTCTGAAGAATAGGTCGCAGTCCCAGAGTCTTCAGATTGTTGGCCACGGTGCTCAACTTGAATCCCCGCTTGGGCAGCACCACGAGCATCGCCAGTCGGTCCTGGGTGCCGTAGGGCAGCTCCAGGACGTAGCCATCCAGACCCTCGATGTTGGAGACGTAGGCGAAGTTCGCTTCCTGCACCATCATGGGTATTTTGCCGATCACCTCGCCGCTCTCGCTGAAGAAGGGCTCCTCTCTCGTCAGAGTCTTGTTAAAGGGGAACTGGAATCCCAAGGAAAACATATATTAAAGAATATGAGTTAGGGGTAATGTCAAAATCCCACCTTCCACTGGCCCTTGAAGAAGAGGGCGGAGAGCAGAAACATTTTGGCTCCATAAATGTCGTTTGGAAGAATTGTATAAGGAATAAGACCTCGGCTGAAGCGACGTACAAGCTCGTTGATCTTCAGCGCCGTAGCTGGGTCACTGAAATCTACTTCAACAGGTTGCACTTTGTAGGTTGTCATCATGACGTTCTTGTAATTGTGCTCAATGGGTAAACGATGGTCCGTTAAAATTGCGTGCAGGGTGGCCACCTCGACTTCGGATGTTTTGGTACTTTTATAAAAATACAAATTAGTTGTATAGTAATTAGTACAGAATAAAATTATTGTTTTACTTAAGAGGTTGACTCATATTACTCACTTTAGGAGCTGGTTTCTTTCACTATAGAACTGGCGCAGTTCTCGCACATTACCAATATTTATCCTTAGGGTCTGATATAGCTGGTAAAGCGTTTCTCCATCCGATCCTTCCAGGAGCAGCACCAGGAGTGACCAAACGGAGAAGGGCGATATCATGAAGTTCCTGTTCTCCCTTTCCGTTTCGATCGATACGTGCTGTAGGAGAGTAAGGGAAAATTCCTCGACACCCTGGGATATTGACTGGGCATATTTCTCCTGCGCCATTAGAAGGACCATAACGCTTAATATCAGTGGAAGTCCAAACATCATTTTCTTCTTCTTTAAATAACTCTTTAGTTTAGGATTATCCCTATTGACAATCGACAGTTCTCTATACCTGTGTATAAGCAACTGTTAAATGATTTAAGAAAAACTCTATTTATGTACTTTCTGAATAGGTTTAGCCTGAAATAATTATTATAATAATTAGTTCAATATTCCAAGCCATGATCTGAGTGCACAGGCTGCACGTTTGACAGATTTTTTTCGTGCATAGGACTTGATTTTGCAAAATGGAATATATTTATTATACATTATTGATTATTAAAGTTTTAATATTTATAATCTGTGATACACAAAGTTGAACAATTACTTAGGCTTATATTATTCTTTTGGCAAGAAGTGGCCGAACTTAGTAACGGATGGTTAATAATAATAATTTGACTGCAACAGAGGTAAGTGTGAAAAGTTACCAGATAACGAAACCCATTTCCAACTGCTTATTTTGCCATTTCGTGTCGATGCATTGCTCTTTTTCTAATCACAGAAAAGATATACGATTTATATTAAATGCCAAAAAGAGCTTAGTTACAAATCTCAAAAAACTTAAACCGTACCACCAACCCATTTTTATATTATATGGGCTATCTGATTTACACAGAGATTCATAAAAGAAGCTTATAAAGAAAAGGAATATGAAGAAAAAACCCAGTGGGACTTAACGTAATGCACTTATTGTGGTATGTGGGTAAGGGTATTAATGAAGAAGAAAACAGAGAGGACTATAGTGTAGCCTATAGGCTCTTGGAGGTCAGCAAAAGTTTATTACATGAAATTTAACGTTCCAAAGTGGCTGGTTCCGTGGTCAGGTTCCGCACAGCGCCGACGTAGAGCATCAGGTTCTTCTCCTTTTCAAAGATCACATACACGAAAGGCTTGTTCAAGTGGAACTTTACCACCCCGGTCTTATTTTTTGGCGCAGGCCTCGGGGTCGACCCCTTGATGCCTTCTTCGTCCACCACTATCCGGCTGAACTGGTTGCAGTTCGAGAGGGACATTCTTACACCGTTGTGGGTATCTGAGGTCATCCGGTATAGATCAGCCTTATAAGAGTCTACAACATCCACGATACCTATCTATTAATGTATATAAATTAGATGCGAACATATCAGTAATATGTAGAAATGTAGAGATACCCACTTCTGATAGGAATTTCGTAAGATAATATCTGGTGTATGTATCGAATTTGGGTATCTTGACCTCCACTTCCTTGTTCTTGGTGGTCCTTTTCTTGAGAGCATCCAGGACAGGACTCATCCCCATGTACCTGAGTTGGTTGACCGTATCGGTGATTTTGGCGCCGTTGGTGGGCAGCATCACGAGCATCACTAGTCCCTTTTTACCGTAGGGCAGTTCCAGGACACGGGCATCCAGTTCATCTATGTCATCCACGTAGGCGAATTTACCTGTCTGCACCATCATGGGCATCTTAGACAATTGCTTGCCGTCTTCCTCGCTGTAAAAAGGTTCCTTTTTCGTCAGCTTCTTGTCGAACGGGTACTGGAATATAGAAGGATGTTTTGAAGGATCTCGTTGGTTAAATTTGGTTAAATTAAATTAAAATCTGCTGGAGAAAAGATGGTCACAATCTCACCTTCCACTTGGCCTTGAAGTAGATGGCAGAGAGCAGTAACATCCTGGCCCCGGATATGTTTCGTTGCTCATATCTCTGCTTAATAAATCCAGAAGTTTCGTACTTAATATCGTCGTTTATCCGAACAATATTTTGTGAGAAGGCCAATGGCCATGGTGTCGTTCCGTTCTCAAGCACAACACTCCTGTATTGTTGATCGATATGATAGTTCCTGTCATAGTACAGATTTTGCAAGGTGTGAACCACCATCTCAGGAGTTGTGGTGTTTGGTGAAAAAAAGAAGACACCGATTAATAAATATAACTCTCCTACTTTTTCAAACCAGATATTATATCTTCCAAGGTCTTGAATTAATTATATCCAGATAATAATACCTACTTGATAAGTATTCTTCTGTCCCTGTAGAACTCATTCATTTCCTCTTCGTCAACGGTGATCCCCAAGGAATCACGCAGCTGGGTGCGGGTTCTTCCTTCAGCTCCCACGTAGAGTACTAACATAATGGCCCACACGGAAAAGGACGCCAGCATGTAGCTATCATCATGTCTCGGTTCTACCCATATGGCTAACCTCTGCCAGAGCTCAAGAGAAAACTTTTCGATTCCCTCCGTCAACTCGGCATAGCCACCATCATCATCGTCATCTTGGCCCTGCGCCAACAATATTAATGTGGCTCCGAAGAGCACTATAAAACCAACCTTCATTTTACCTACAGTAGGAGGAAATTTAAAAAAAAAAAAATTTAAATAAAGTTGGCTTTGAACCCTTTAATCCTATGGGAATTCCGAGCTTAAAGCCTACTTTAAATTTAACATGTGCTCCTGACATTAAAACAACCAACACGAATCAAGTATATTATCACTTTGGAGAAACGGTTCCTGCTCCTTGTTCCACACTTATGAGAAAAAATTCTTAAAGTGCTACACCAAAACACATACTAAAATGATCTATCTGCACTAACTTTTTAATTGTACAAAACCATCTTTATATACTTTCTACGGATGACTTTAAAAATTATTGCAAGCCATGATCTAACAACACAAAAAATTTTAAATCTTTTGCATTTTTCATACTCATGTCTTGATTTTCAATGATTTTGAATACTATAAGTTGCTTAAAATAATTTTTTTCATTAATGTATGCAGAAAATAAATGTACTTTGTAGAATAAACCAACTTTTAAGTTAAAGGTTTGGCATGAACTTAGTTTTAGTCCACTTATAATACTAATATACCTTCAACCTCGGGACTTTAATTTTTAAAGAACTTTTGTTCCTTGCACTAATTTGTAAAAAGCTATCAGATAGATAAATCCATTTGAAACTGCTAAATTTGCAATGCGATTTCGTGTTTTGGCATTGATTCTTTTGAAGTTCAGAATAGCTATACGATATTGATGAGGCTTATATAAGAAACAAGAGAGAACGCTACAGTCGGGTTCGTGTCCCGACTAATAATCGTAACTCAGCTAAAGGGAGTGCGAGGGAGATAGATATAGAAATTTTGATTGCGTATAACTTTTTAATGAATGGTCCGATTTGAAAAATGTCTTCTACATTTCGTGGGTATAAATATGCACAACAAAACTGCATTTATACTTCTCGGAAATCTTTAAAGGTGTGGGTGCCAGACACATTTTAAAATCGTTAGTGGGCGATTGTGGGCGTTAGAGGGGGCGTGGCACTCGACTGAAATAAACTTGAGCTGCGTAGGAAGCCCAAGAATATGCGTGGAAAATCGCAGCCTTCTAGCTTTTGTAGTTCCCGAGATCTCAGCGTTCATACACTCAAAAAAAAAACAGCCCGAAATCGCCATTAAATCAAGAAATTCGCCATGAATTTCAGTCGATGGCGATTTACCGTATTTTTTAGAAAGGAATTTTCTAAAATTTAGAAAAAAATTTCTGAAAAGCAGAAATACTTTTCTAAAATCAAGAAAAATTGCCATAAAAAGTGCGAAAATTTCCTTAAATCCAGAAAGTACTTTTCTTGAAAATAGAATTTTTTTTCTTAAAATAAGAATGGACTTTTTTTATTTTCAGAAAATTTTCTTTATTTTAATAAAATGTTTACATATTTATTTTACTATTTTATTTCCTAAACAAGAAAGAGAAAAGAAAATAAAAAAGATGAAAAGAAAATTATTAATATTTCCTAAACAAAAAAGGAAAACAAAACAAAAAAAATAAAAATAAGATAATAAATATTTCCTAAAGAAAAAAGAGAAAAGAAAACAAAAAAAGATAAAAATTACATTATAAATATTTCCTAAACAAAAAAGAGAAAAGAAAACAAAATAGATAAAAAGTTATTAATATTAATATTAAGTAGGTATTTAACTTACCTATTATTAAAATTTACTTACTTACTGCCAAATTATCAACAATACCTGAAATTGAAATTATTCCTGCAATCGAAAATAAAAATTAATATTAGAGAAGGATGGTATTTGCGGCCTGCAATAGTATGCCCTATGCTTACCATAAATTTTCACACACTTACCAAATTTATATTTAAATTTATTTAAATTGCTTACCTATTAATTGCCTCTTAGAGGGATCGCACTTTAACTTTCTTAAATAGGCTCAACACAAACTTATTACTTTGAATGCTCATCCAAAACTGAGCACAAGGGTTCAAAATGCAGCGCAACACAAGCAACTCTCTCGCGAGAGACTGCATTTCCAAAACAACAACGCAATAAAGTTACAGCTACGCACAAGAAAATTCTCGATCATACGCACAAACACACATAAACATATACATACATACGCCAAAAACTGTCGTCGCAACGCGCCGCGGACTAACCCCTTGTCTTCTTCTTTTTCGTTTCGAAGAAAGAGTGAGAAGCATAAAAGAAATACAAAAAGTTTTTCTTAAATCTATGGTGATTTTCTAATTCTACTTTTCTGTTTTCAAGAAAATTTTTTTTTTAATTCATAAAAATTCTTAAAATTTAGAAAAATTTACCGTATTTTTTATGGCGACTTTCTAGATTCTAGGAAGGGCTGAAGTACATTTTTTCTTAATTTAATGGCGAAATCGCCATTAATTTACGAAAACTTTTGGAGAGCAAACTAGAAAAAAACACCATTGATTTAAGAAAAAAAAACATTTTTCTAAATTTTAGAAAGGTTTTTCGTAAAATTCTGTTTTTATGGTCTTTTTTCCTAGATTCAAGAAAACAATTTCTAAAATTCAGAAAATTTTCTAAAATTAAGAAAAAATTTCATTTTATGGCGATTTTCTAAAATTTAGGAAAAAAAAATTTTTGAGTGTACAGACGGACATGGCTAGATCGCCTCGACTAGTGACCCTGATCAAGAATATATATACTTTATGGGGTCGGAAACGATTCCTTATAGCTGTTACATACTATTTCACGAATACAATATACCCTTTTACTCTACGAGTAACGGGTATAAATATAAAACGTTTGTCTTCTCAAAGTAAAAATTAATTTTACCCTCACCGTAAAATGTAAATGGATGTGGTTAACTAAGAGCTGCACTCAGAAAAGTGAATTTTTATTGTTCTGATTTATGAAGAGTGTATAAACTTTAATAATCAATAATGAAATAATTTATTCTATTTTACAAAATCAAGTCCTGTGCACGAAAAAAATCTGGGCATATCATGGCTTGGAATATTGAACTAATTATTATTATTATTTCAGAAAGTACATAAGTAGAACTTTTCCTAAATCATCAGATATAGAGAACTCTCGATTGTCAATGGGGATAATCCTAAACTAAAGAGTTATTTGAAAAACAACAGTTATTAGGCTGAATATATAACATGAGGATCGGACTTCCAGTGATATTAAGCGTCATGGTCCTTCTAATGGCGCAAGAGAAATATGCCCAATCAATATCGCAGGGTGTCGAGGAATTTTCCTTTAATCTCCTGCAGCACGTATCAATCGAAACGGAGAGGCAGAACCGGAACTTCATGATATCGCCCTTCTCCGTTTGGTCACTCCTGGTGCTCCTCCTGGAAGGATCGGGTGGAGAAACGCTTTACCAGCTATATCAGACCCTAAGGATAAATGTTGGTAATGTGCGAGATCTGCGCCAGTTCTATAGTGAAAGAAACCAGCTCCTAAAGTGAGTAATATGAGTCAACCTCTTAAGTAAAACAATATTTTTTATTGTGTACTAATTACTATAAAACTAATTTGTATTTTTATAAAAGTACCAAAACATCCGAAGTCGAGGTGGCCACCCTGCAGGCAATTTTAACGGACTATCGTTTACCCATCGGGTACAACTACCGGAACGTCATGATGACAACCTACAAAGTGCGACCTGTTGAAGTGGACTTCAGTGACCCAGCTACGGCGCTGAAGATCAACGAGCTTGTACGTCGCTTCAGCCGAGGTCTTATTCCTCATACAATTCTCCCACAGGACATATATGGAGTCAGGATGTTTCTGCTCTCCGTTCTCTTCTTCAAGGGCCAGTGGAAGGTGGGATATTGTCAATGGTTTCTCAATATATCCCTTCTAATATATCCTTTCGAGACCAGCTGCCTTTCGATGAGACTCTGACGAGAGAGGAGCCCTTTTACAGCGAGAGCGGTGAGGAGATCGGCAAAATGCCCATGATGAAGCAGGAAGCGAACTTCGCCTATGTCGATAACATCGATGGTCTGAAGGGCACTGTCCTGGAGCTGCCCTACGGCACCCAGGACCGACTGGCGATGCTTGTGCTGCAGCCCCATCCCGGCTTCAAATTAAACGACGTGGCAGGCAATCTAAGAGCCTTGGGACTGAGACCCATTCTCCAGGGGCTGGCGGCCAAGAGAAATGAGGACAGAGACGTGAAGGTCCAGATGCCCAAGTTCACAATTACCACAGACCTTAGACTCAGGGAAATCCTTATACGGGTGAGACTTCTTTTATCTTGTATCCTTCAGGTTATTGGATGTTTTTATCATAGTAAAATATCCAGTTTATGTTAAAAAAAATCCAAGAATCTTTACTGTGAATTTTAAGAATTTTTATCTAGGTAAACTTATGTTAATTTTATTTTTTACACCCAGATGGGCATTCGTGATCTATTTGGAGATGCCGCCAACCTAGAACGTATGTCGAGCGGATTGTATGCCAGTCAAGTCGACCACTCCTCCAAGATTATCGTAGACGAAAAGGGATCAACCGCGGCAGCTGTCACAACGGCTACGATAGACTTCAAGATGATTAAACCCAGCCTTAACCTGAACAGACCCTTTCAGTACATGATCGTGGAGAAGACAACCGGCCTGATGCTTTTCGCCGGCCAAGTTCGGAAACCCGAGGCGGCTTAGGGATCTTAATCTGACTTTATACAAATTTTACAATAAATACGTTGGGCTAAGTAATCCGTAAGTTAAGTGGTCATTTATTGACGATATTATTTATAGAAAACTAAGTTAATAAAGAATCGTTCATGCTGCTTTTATATTTTTCATCTCCATCGTTTATATAGCACAAAATCAATGTACAAGCCTAGTCAAAAGTATTTTCACAAATTTGAATGTTAACTGTACTCATATTTTGAACTTATAATATAAACATTTTGGCACCTATGGAAAGAGCACTTCAATTCCGTTTAAATGACACAAAAATGTTCTTAACCCATTAAGCACCCTTTGAAAAGTTAGAAAATTAGACAATTTTTTGTCGAAAGTCAAATTTTTTTTGCAGTTATTATTAAATTTGATTGGGGAACAATTTTGCATCAAAATATTTTTGTTTTAAGCCCCAAAAAAAAAGTTGAAAATTTGACTTTCACAAAATTTGCTCACTTTCTTTTGGAGCAGGATGCTCCAGTCGCAAAATGCTCCAGTCTCAAAATGCTCCATTCGCAAAATGCTCCAGTCTCAAAATGCTCCAGTCTCAAAATGCTCCAGTCTCAAAATGCTCCAGTCGCAAAATGCTCCAGTCGCAAAATGCTCCATTGGCAAAATGCTCCATTGGCAAAATGCTCCAGTCTCAAAATGCTCCATTGGCATAATGCTCTATTGGCAAAATGCTCCATTGGCAAAATGCTCCAGTCTCAAAATGCTCCATTGGCAAAATGCTCCATTGGCAAAATGCTCCAGTCTCAAAATGCTCCATTGGCAAAATGCTCCAGTCTCAAAATGCTCCAGTCGCAAAATGCTCCAGTCTCAAAATGCTCCATTGGCATAATGCTCCATTGGCATAATGCTCCATTGGCATAATGCTCCATTGGCAAAATGCTCCAGTCTCAAAATGCTCCAGTCTCAAAATGCTCCAGTCTCAAAATGCTCCAGTCTCAAAATGCTCCAGTCGCAAAATGCTCCAGTCGCAAAATGCTCCATTGGCAAAATGCTCCAGTCGCAAAATGCTCCATTGGCAAAATGCTCCAGTCTCAAAATGCTCCATTGGCAAAATGCTCCAGTCTCAAAATGCTCCATTGGCAAAATGCTCCAGTCTCAAAATGCTCCATTGGCAAAATGCTCCATTGGCAAAATGCTCCAGTCTCAAAATGCTCCAGTCTCAAAATGCTCCGTTGGCAAAATGCTCCAGTCTCAAAATGCTCCAGTCGCAAAATGCTCAGTCGCAAAATGCTCCATTGGCAAAATGCTCCATTGGCAAAATGCTCCAGTCGCAAAATGCTCCATTGGCAAAATGCTCCAGTCTCAAAATGCTCCATTGGCAAAATGCTCCAGTCTCAAAATGCTCCATTGGCAAAATGGTCCAGTCTCAAAATGCTCCATTGGCAAAATGCTCCAGTCTCAAAATGCTCCACTGGCAAAATGCTCCAGTCTCAAAATGCTCCATTGGCAAAATGCTCCATTGGCAAAATGCTCCAGTCTCAAAATGCTCCAGTCTCAAAATGCTCCGTTGGCAAAATGCTCCAGTCTCAAAATGCTCCAGTCGCAAAATGCTCCAGTCTCAAAATGCTCCATTGGCAAAATGCTCCATTGGCAAAATGCTCCAGTCTCAAAATGCTCCATTGGCAAAATGCTCCAGTCTCAAAATGCTCCATTGGCAAAATGCTCCAGTCTCAAAATGCTCCAGTCGCAAAATGCTCCAGTCTCAAAATGCTCCAGTCTCAAAATGCTCCATTGGCAAAATGCTCCAGTCTCAAAATGCTCCATTGGCAAAATGCTCCAGTCTCAAAATGCTCCATTGGCAAAATGCTCCAGTCTCAAAATGCTCCAGTCGCAAAATGCTCCAGTCTCAAAATGCTCCATTGGCAAAATGCTCCAGTCTCAAAATGCTCCAGTCTCAAAAATGCTCCATTGGCAAAATGCTCCAGTCTCAAAATGCTCCATTGGCATAATGCTCCATTGGCAAAATGCTCCAGTCTCAAAATGCTCCATTGGCAAAATGCTCCAGTCTCAAAATGCTCCATTGGCAAAATGCTCCAGTCTCAAAATGCTCCATTGGCAAAATGCTCCAGTCTCAAAATGCTCCAGTCTCAAAAATGCTCCATTGGCAAAATGCTCCAGTCTCAAAATGCTCCATTGGCAAAATGCTCCATTGGCAAAATGCTCCAGTCTCAAAATGCTCCATTGGCAAAATGCTCCAGTCTCAAAATGCTCCAGTCGCAAAATGCTCCAGTCTCAAAATGCTCCATTGGCAAAATGCTCCAGTCTCAAAATGCTCCATTGGCAAAATGCTCCAGTCTCAAAATGCTCCAGTCTCAAAATGCTCCAGTCTCAAAATGCTCCATTGGCAAAATGCTCCATTGGCAAAATGCTCCATTGGCAAAATGCTCCAGTCTCAATATGCTCCAGTCTCAAAATGCTCCATTGGCAAAATGCTCCAGTCTCAAAATGCTCCAGTCTCAAAATGCTCCATTGGCAAAATGCTCCAGTCTCAAAATGCTCCATTGGCAAAATGCTCCAGTCGCAAAATGCTCCAGTCTCAAAATGCTCCATTGGCAAAATGCTCCAGTCTCAAAATGCTCCAGTCTCAAAATGCTCCATTGGCAAAATGCTCCAGTCTCAAAATGCTCCATTGGCAAAATGCTCCAGTCTCAAAATGCTCCATTGGCAAAATGCTCCATTGGCAAAATGCTCCAGTCTCAAAATGCTCCATTGGCAAAATGCTCCAGTCTCAAAATGCTCCAGTCTCAAAATGCTCCAGTCTCAAAATGCTCCATTGGCAAAATGCTCCAGTCTCAAAATGGTCCATTGGCAAAATGCTCCAGTATCAAAATGCTCCAGTCTCAAAATGCTCCATTGGCAAAATGCTCCAGTCTCAAAATGCTCCATTGGCAAAATGCTCCAGTCGCAAAATGCTCCAGTCTCAAAATGCTCCAGTCGCAAAATGCTCCATTGACAAAATGCTCCAGTCTCAAAATGCTCCATTGGCAAAATGCTCCAGTCGCAAAATGCTCCAGTCTCAAAATGCTCCATTGGCAAAATGCTCCAGTCTTGAAATGCTCCATTGGCAAAATGCTCCAGTCTCAAAATGCTCCATTGGCAAAATGCTCCAGTCGCAAAATGCTCCAGTCTCAAAATGCTCCATTGGCAAAATGCTCCATTGGCAAAATGCTCCATTGGCAAAATGCTCCATTGGCAAAATGCTCCAGTCTCAAAATGCTCCATTGGCAAAATGCTCCAGTCGCAAAATGCTCCAGTCTCAAAATGCTCCATTGGCAAAATGCTCCATTGGCAAAATGCTCCATTGGCAAAATGCTCCAGTCTCAAAATGCTCCATTGGCAAAATGCTCCAGTCGCAAAATGCTCCATTGGCAAAATGCTCCATTGGCAAAATGCTCCAGTCTCAAAATGCTCCATTGGCAAAATGCTCCAGTCTCAAAATGCTCCAGTCTCAAAATGCTCCATTGGCAAAATGCTCCAGTCTCAAAATGCTCCATTGGCAAAATGCTCCAGTCTCAAAATGCTCCATTGGCAAAATGCTCCAGTCTCAAAATGCTCCATTGGCAAAATGCTCCATTGGCAAAATGCTCCATTGGCAAAATGCTCCAGTCTCAAAATGCTCCATTGGCAAAATGCTCCAGTCTCAAAATGCTCCAGTCTCAAAATGCTCCAGTCTCAAAATGCTCCATTGGCAAAATGCTCCAGTCTCAAAATGCTCCATTGGCAAAATGCTCCAGTATCAAAATGCTTCAGTCTCAAAATGCTCCATTGGCAAAATGCTCCAGTCTCAAAATGCTCCATTGGCAAAATGCTCCAGTCGCAAAATGCTCCAGTCTCAAAATGCTCCATTGGCAAAATGCTCCAGTCTTGAAATGCTCCATTGGCAAAATGCTCCATTGGCAAAATGCTCCATTGGCAAAATGCTCCAGTGTCAAAATGCTCCATTGGCAAAATGCTCCAGTCTCAAAATGCTCCATTGGCAAAATGCTCCAGTGTCAAAATGCTCCAGTCGCAAAATGCTCCAGTCTCAAAATGCTCCATTGGCAAAATGCTCCAGTCTCAAAATGCTCCATTGGCAAAATGCTCCAGTCTCAAAATGCTCCATTGGCAAAATGCTCCAGTCTCAAAATGCTCCATTGGCAAAATGCTCCAGTCTCAAAATGCTCCAGTCGCAAAATGCTCCAGTCGCAAAATGCTCCAGTCTCAAAATGCTCCATTGGCAAAATGCTCCAGTCTCAAAATGCTCCAGTCGCAAAAAGCTCCATTGACAAAATGCTCCAGTCTCAAAATGCTCCATTGGCCAAATGCTCCAGTCTCAAAATGCTCCATTGGCAAAATGCTCCAGTCTCAAAATGCTCCATTGGCAAAATGCTCCAGTCTTGAAATGCTCCATTGGCAAAATGCTCCATTGGCAAAATGCTCCATTGGCAAAATGCTCCAGTGTCAAAATGCTCCATTGGCAAAATGCTCCAGTCTCAAAATGCTCCATTGGCAAAATGCTCCAGTATCAAAATGCTTCAGTCTCAAAATGCTCCATTGGCAAAATGCTCCAGTCTCAAAATGCTCCATTGGCAAAATGCTCCAGTCGCAAAATGCTCCAGTCTCAAAATGCTCCATTGGCAAAATGCTCCAGTCTTGAAATGCTCCATTGGCAAAATGCTCCATTGGCAAAATGCTCCATTGGCAAAATGCTCCAGTGTCAAAATGCTCCATTGGCAAAATGCTCCATTGGCAAAAAGCTCCAGTCCCAAAATGCTCCAGTCTCAAAATGCTCCAGTCGCAAAATGCTCCAGTCTCAAAATGCTCCATTGGCAAAATGCTACATTGGCAAAATGCTCCAGTCTCAAAATGCTCCATTGGCAAAATGCTCCAGTCTCAAAATGCTCCATTGGCAAAATGCTCCAGTCTCAAAATGCTCCAGTCGCAAAATGCTCCATTGGCAAAATGCTCCAGTCTCAAAATGCTCCATTGGCAAAATGCTCCATTGGCAAAATGCTCCAGTCTCAAAATGCTCCATTGGCAAAATGCTCCAGTCTCAAAATGCTCCAGTCGCAAAATGCTCCATTGGCAAAATGCTCCAGTCTCAAAATGCTCCATTGGCAA